ACCTCTAGATTCACAAGATGGTATTTAAGGGCAAGCTGTTGGTGTACGATCCTGGCTACTTGGTTGTGCCTGTGCAAATATTCTCCGTTAGCAAGACGAGAACAACCAGAAATAATATGCCTGATTGATTCGCCAGGACGGTGGCATGCCCGACAGATGTCAACCGTACCATCTTTCAGGATATATTTCCGATAGTTATTCGTCATGATAACTTCGTCCATAATCGCACAAACAAAACCTTCAGTTTCTCCAAAGAGATCACCATGCCGTAGCCAAGTCGTAGATGCTTTTAAATCTATATCGGACCCGTTTAGGGCCCGATAAAACCGACCATGGAGCTCTTTGCCCTTCCATACTTCCCTGCGATCATTAACACCAAGTACTACAGGTATATATTATTATTATTATTATCTTTATTTACTTTATATACATATTATTTACATTTTTAAATATACACTTTATAAAAAAATACATTTAAAAATATAAAAAATAGTAGACCACCGACATCGGGTACAGGGACCAAGACACCGGTGGTTAGGACTCCAAAGATAGGAACCTCCTCACTATACGAGCCGTGTCAAGGAGGACTGCCTTCTGCATCAGACCCTTGATCCAGCCATCCAACGTGAGCCTCTTAAGGTGTTGGTCGAGGCTCTTGGCTATCAATCCATGAGCAGATACGACTATCGGAACAATGATCACTGAATCAACATTCCACATATCGACAATCTCGTGAGATAAATCCAAATATTTAATTTGTTTTTCTTTTTCAACTTTCACGAGATTCTCGTCATGAGGAACGGCGATATCAACAGTCATTGCGCGGCGCTCTAATCGATCTATCAACACAATATCGGGCTTATTGGCAACAATAGTCCTGTCTGTGATAATAGATCGATCCCAATACAACGTGGCCCGACCATTCTCGAGAACTGGGTCGGGCACATACCTATAGTATGGCACCTCTAGATTCACAAGATGGTATTTAAGGGCAAGCTGTTGGTGTACGATCCTGGCTACTTGGTTGTGCCTATGCAAATATTCTCCGTTAGCAAGACGAGAACAACCAGAAATAATATGCCTGATTGATTCGCCAGGACGGTGGCATGCCCGACAGATGTCAACCGTACCATCTTTCAGGATATATTTCCGATAGTTATTCGTCATGATAACTTCGTCCATAATCGCACAAACAAAACCTTCAGTTTCTCCAAAGAGATCACCATGCCGTAGCCAAGTCGTAGATGCTTTTAAATCTATATCGGACCCGTTTAGGGCCCGATAAAACCGACCATGGAGCTCTTTGCCCTTCCATACTTCCCTGCGATCATTAACACCAAGTACTACAGGTCTGCGCCAATTCTCTTTAGCCAGAGCGAGCGGGGTGAAGCCGGTATCCACTGCAACTACATTGCGATGCACTCCCACGTCGGTATGTAGAAAATATTCTCTGAGATTGCATACCTCGCGATTATGTAGGGTCTTGATATTTAATAGACCGCGACCCCCAAGCTTTCGCGGGATATACAATCTCATAACTGATGAACGTGGGTGGTGCATTCGGGATGCAGTCAGCAGTGTGCGGACTTTCCTGTCAAGGGCATCTAATTCGGTCTGAGTCCATCTAAGTATACCAAAGGAATACATTAGAACCGGCATGACCCAACCATTGCAGGCTCGCACCTTGTTGCCCCCTGATAAAAGACTTTTAAGTACTTTTTTCAAGCGGCCAAAAAAGCGTTCCTGCAATGTTTGTTTCATGTTAGATTCTGGTATTCCCAACGACTGTGATATACCCAGATACTTGTAAGTTTCAGTGGCAGACAGAGATCTGAGTTTTGTTGAACCCAAAAGCTCTATTCCTTCAGATTCAACTATCACACCCTTCTTTACATACATGACTGCACACTTGTCTACACCAAATTCCATTTTGATAGAATTACTAAAGTTTTCCGTCACCTTTAGTAACTTTGTCAATTGTAATTTGTTGGAGGCTAACAGTTTCAAATCATCCATATAAAGAAGGTGAGATATAACTTGATCATCTTTCTGCAACCTATAGCCTAACCCTGAACCCTCTAATAAAGTGCTTAAAAGTGCGTAAAACATAATCGAATTATTATTAATATGTAAAGTAATTTTGAGTCTCAGAATAGATGTTAGAAGTTTATACATGGTAGGTAAACATGTAATAGGTCGAAAATTTTTGGGATCCATGACACTACCAGACTTATAGAGTAAGTGGGTTATGCCAGTGGTTAAAAATTGGGGTAATGAACCCGAATCCAAAGCTGCCTGGAATTGAGATGCCAAACGCGCATGTGAGCTTCGGAACCACTTAAGCCAAAAGTTGTGCAGTCCGTCTGGACCAGGTGATTTCCAATTCGGTAATGAACGAACTGCACAACTTACATCATCTTTATCAATTTTAACAAGTTCCATAGGTGTTATAGACTCACATGAGCGTCTGACATCCTGCAACCAATCACCTTCTATATGAGTGACAGGCACCGACCAGATGTTACGCCAAAATGTATTTGTGACATTTTCATCTGGCAAATGCCTATCACCCACACATGGATCCGGTTCCTCCCATTTCCGGTACACCCACTTCTCATTTCTTTGGAACATCCGATTCTGATTATACCGATCTATTCGTTTTTTATACCGTCTTATCCTATTTGCCCATGCATAAATTTTCTGCTTTAGAAAGTCTATGCGCTCTGTGACACATGACATGTACTGCTGAGGACTAATGGTAGTCCCCAAGAATACCTGTTTCACAAAGCGCATCACTCTCGGCCGCGTATTCCCTGATCGGTAGCTAATAAGCTTACCGATGAGTGTCCTGGTCTCAGCAATACGACGCTCAATTCTATACTGCCAAGCTGGTACAGTAGATTTAGGTCGAGTAGTAGTGACATTGTTAGCTATTTTAACACCAGCTACTCGACAAACTGCAATATCCGCACAATATAGAATAGAATGTGTATCACTAAGATCTTCGCTATTATCTAAATATTTAGGCAATAACGAATCCAGGGCACCCACCAGCGCTAAATTTCGTTTATGAATGGGCAAACGGAATAACCGGGGCCTATCATTGCAATTTAAATATCGGTATTCCAGAATCGCATCCTCCAAAGCGCTCCTTATCCTATCATTGTATTGGGTACTTACGGATATAACTTCACTCTCCACTAGTTCATCAATATCATCAGTATATGATGCCAACTGAGGTGTGCTGTTGGCTACCGAATCCACAGTGTGTGACGAAGAAGGGATAATTAAGCTATTCCGTATGTCAGAGCGTATCCTCTCAAGTACTGCATCATCCAGCAGATGACAGCGCTGTATAGCTCGTACTTGATCCGACAATCGTTGTGCTGATACGTTGACAGCTGGTTCAAGCTCCTGAAACAAAGAGACTAGTCGAACACGGTACGCAGTAAGGTTCGTTCCCACCTCTGTAGCCCGATAATATGCCCGCATGACATTTTCATTAATAGACTTTGTCCACTTCATGCGGCGCACATCACCACCGGTAGCGGGGACCCTGTTTGAGGTCAGTAGTCCTCGGGATCCCAAGCTGGTCGGTGGCCGGCCTCTCCCCTGCCGACGTACAGGTGTTGGCGACGTCGGCGGAGAGAAAAACTCGTCGCTTGAAGTCGAGCTCGACGCCTCAGCCACGGCCGGAACTTCTGTTGTAGCTTCCGGGGACGGCAAGACGGAGCGGAGCGACGAGTCCGGGGATGTTGTCAGTGCTCTGGATCTAGCTCGGGTTAACATTTTCCAGTCGAATTTCTTTCATTATGAATAATTATTTGTATTTTGACATGACGTTAAACGTCATGTCTTACTATAAACATATATCTATGTATATTATTTATTTTAAACGGTTTTGTATTGTATTTTTATAAAAAGGATCCATTTTATTACAGTTTTATAGCTTTTAATTATTGTACGGGATTGTAAATGTATAGAAAACTTGTTTATTCCGAAAATGTGAAGAAATTCCGACTGATGTAGGTAAGTGTTTGAGGAAGGCAGGCGTTGTTTTATACAGTTTAAATACTCCGAATATCTCTGAATTAATTTATTTAACAGTGTTAACAAACAGTTTTAGGTATTTTAGTGCCAAACAATTAAAGTAGGTATTCACAGTTCACTTTAAAAGTATGTGACAAGTATTCATTACTTTGAGATTGTTGATTACCTCGAGATTCATGTATTATAGTATCAGATAGAGAATTATGTTTTTCTAGTGTATATTTTCTGGGTGTCGTTAAATTCGTCTTCATTTATTGTGAGAGTGACCCTGGGTAGATAAAGAATATTTAAATAAAAATCGCTGGTTTGTAATTTTAAATCATTAGCTTGTTTACATTAGCTTTTGCCTACGGCTTCGCTAGCAGTAATCTACATTATGTAAAAAAAATATGTCAAAACGATTTGTGAGATTGGGTCAACTAAGTTTGCGAACACATAGATAACCTCTAACGTGAATAAACATAAAGCCTACATTCGGTTCGAGTTGATGGGAACACCTCCTTTTTTGTAATTGGTCCATTTTTTGACGTGACAACGTCTTATAATTCGATGGAGCCGGCTGCACGCACGAAAAAACATGACTCATGCGGCGTTACCTCGCTCTGAGGCGTTCCATTTAAGGCTTGAAGTGCAAGCGAGAGCGCGGAACGAGCGACAAAGAGGCACAATCGGCCTCCGCGTTCGGTAACGTTCGACATCTGTCTCTCTCCTACTTGACTGAGCGATGCGTCCGCGTGGACAGCTGCTATACAATAATACATTTACATGTTTTCGTCAAGTATGAAGTGCAGTGAAAAGTGAATGTGGTGTCTTATAACGTTGTCACGTTCAACTATCGTAAGTAAACCGACTTTACAGACAGCCGATTTTTTTTTTAACTCAACTTTGGTTTATCGACTTTCGCTCTTAGTGTAGGTATATTAAAACAAGATTAAAAATTTGCTACTTACACAGTGTGCAGATTGTCCTCTGTCGATTTGTCCACAACTCTGTCTTTAAAAAAATTTGTGAAAAGAGTCTTGAGAGTGTAGTGCAGGTCTAACACCTGCTTAGTCACTGTGGTGCTTCTGTCGCAGCAGTGGTACGTGAGGATCAGATCCAGATCTGCAGAACATATGATGAGCGAATTTTAATAGATTACAAAGACAAATAAGAAAATTAAAAATCAGTTGTTCATTTCTTTTTCCACCACTTGATTTTTTTTTTTTTTTAAAAAGACAACTCCCGCACTAGGAATAAATCCTGTGTCGCGGGGGACTTTACAAACATACATGACACGGACACAAAGTACACCCAGACTCAGAACAACAATTTGTGGATCACACAAAGTGTTGTCCCATGTGGGGTTTGAACCCACAACACTCGGCGTAATAGAAAGTTGCGTGGCGACCGCTTAAACCACTCCGTGCAGTCAAAAGTCAGTATTTGAATAACGGATGGTTTTAAAACCATCTAAAATGACTCGGAATAAAAACGAAGAAACATAGACAAAATGCTAATACTTATTGTGTTGAGATCAGATACTGCGATAGTTAAAATAAACTGCCTTTTATTTAGTAAGTTTAATAACACTTCAGGTTAAACTTCACTTGCTGGTTAGTAATTACATTTTATATTATTAATATGACGTACTTATATACAAATTAAATGTTGCCATATTTTGTCAAAATTATCTATGTTTTTATGTTAAGAAAAACCCCTTTACCGTGTGTCCGACATTACCAGCATTCTTGTTAACGCCTCTGGCTAAACCTCTGTTTATGGTATTGCCCACTCTTAGTTCATGTCAGTCCAATTGGAGCACCAGTTGGAACCCACCCGGTGCACCTGCTGGATGAGGTTTCAACTTCAAACCAAGAACCTAGATTTTGATTTGATACCACTGTCTGAGAAATTTTAATTTTAGACTTTTTTCTTAGAGAGCGTACGGTTCACCTGCTAGGAACTTGGACTCCTGTAAACTCACTCACTCAGTGAAAAGCAACGAAATCATTGCTTAATACCAGTTTTACGTCAGCTCCGTTATCACAGGAAAAAAGGTCTTGAAATCAGCGACTCAGATGAGAGACACCCGGAAAGCATTGATTCCTGGATAATTTTCTTGCAATCGTAACTAACCGGCCTTTGGTTAGAGAGAATTAAAAAAAAAAATTTAGGTAAATACAACCTGTACCCAGCTAATAATTATGCCATTTAGGTCTTGGAACACGTAAGCTTGTGAGAACATGATATAATCATTACTTATTACTTTAGTAAATATGCTGGCGATAAGAACTTAAATTGAAGACCATTTGGCAAGGCACTTGGCGTTCTTAAAATACCTACCTCATGCTCTGTCCTGAATACTAATTCTGAGTTATTTATGTACGTGGCATGGTTTGTTTTATGGGCACGCTACTTTTTAGTACTTACTTCTAGTTTGGTACTATTTATTGTATTCATCCCGGATGTGATCAGAATATTGCATAAAACTTTGACTATCGTTCGCTCTCTCTCAGTAAATGTATTGTAATATTTTATCAGCGTATTCGGTCGCGCTTATGCCAATTTTATCAACTATTTATTTCGGAATAAAAGTAGTCCTTGTGTTATTCCAGAGTCAGAACCCAGTAAACACAGGACCTCCACATGTCGTCAATAGGTCATAGACAGATCATAGAATTTTTTACATAGATATGACATAAAATGACTGTACTGTTATTTCATTCTGACGACGGTTAATGATCATCATATTTACGTCATCAATCTTACGTAAGATTCATGACGTAAAGTCCTCATTAAGTGGGAAATTATGAGTATATATATGATTTATGTTAATTGAATTTTCCATCAAAAAATAATTGAATAATAAAGAGAGCGTAATCAATAATGAACTTATAATACTAAAATTAAAACAAATGTTATTTAGTGTTGTAATGACATTGTATGAAGTGATAATAATTTGCCAACTATTAACAACTATTAACCATATTTATTTTTGTATTACGTATGTGAATGACATTTAATACATGACATATTAACTTTGTTAGATAATCATTTATATTTACATCGCATTTGCCTAACTTATTTTTGTACATTTGAATGACATTTAATATAAAAGAAATTTGCCTTAATTAAATAAAACCAAATTTACTATAGTTGAATCTTATTTTTGTATGTATACATTTATGATAGTACCTAGCAGCAAGTTTATCTACAACATAAACTAAAATAGAAAATATTTTAATAGATTAAATAGAAAAATAATTAAAAATAAATTAAATTAAATTAAATAGTAAAGTAATTTAATAGATTAAATATAAAAATAACAAAACAATAAAAATTAAATTACATGTGAACGGTATAATGGCTCACCACAGGAAATCGACTGAATAGTGCAATAATACCATATAACATGTGTGCACTAATATACATCACAAACTTTGTCTAGACTCAAATAATAATAATTGTTACAAACTCTTCCTCTCTCCTAACATTTTGCTGTGCCCGACAGGGTCCATAATTTCTGTTTTTCTGTTTTTTTTTTAAAAAGACAACTCCCGCATTGGGAATATATCCTGTGTCGCGGGGGACTTTTCAAACATACATGAAACGGACACAAAGAACACCCAGACTCAGAACAACAATTTGTGGATCACACAAAGTGTCGTCCCATGTGGGGTTTGAACCCACAACACTCGGCGCTGTAGGAAGCGGCGTGGCGACCGCTTAAACCACTACGCCATCCGTGCAGTCAAATCATAGTCATAGTCAAATTGTCAAATCATAGTCAAATTGTAACTTAATTATAAGCCTACATCTGTATCACATTGTGGAACGCAGTAAATTTATTTTACGTAAATCATGACGTGCAATGACGTCATTCTGACATCAGTTTGACATATTTGTGTTCACTGGGTAAACTACGCAATCTAATTACTGCTATTGTTAAAATGAGACGCGGACAACATACAATCATGAACGCACAGTTTATTTAAACTACGCGGCATGATGAAGTAACTTCCTTTGTATATCATAATTATACTTAAATGTTCACATAATTAATCACTTACTGTGGGTAAGCAAAATTATAATAACCTTACACACGGCAGTATGATCCCAAATTATGCAGGGCCAGAGCTACGGTAACCTGACTGCTGTCAAACAGGCAGTCACTTAGTAATAGGCTACTTTTTATCAATAAAAAAATCCCTCTAAAAAACTCGACATTAACGCTAGTAAGCCGCGAGTGAGAGCTGTAGTTGATGAGTGTTAAACTATTGTTACGAGCTGGGAACTCAATAAATAAATCTAGACGGGTACTAAAGTTAGCACTGTATTTATAAGTACACACTTTTACAAAACAATAACTTAACTAAATAATTTCTTGGTAGCATTAGAATATCGCTTCGATGTTAATCTGCTATCTTGTAAAACAATAATTGCCCGTACGGCCAACACGCTCAGCTGTTATACGGGTTGACGAAATAACTAGAATTAACCCTAGGACTCGATATAACTATCTAGATAATATGGAATTGCCAGTACCAATAATCTTCCGTTACCCGACACTAGATGGCGCTGCAAGTATCGGAACATATCGGAATTATAAACTATAATTTCAATGTGGCGCTGTCCTCAAGATTCCACACAGCTTTCGGTTGTTCATGAAGTAACGACTCAACATTAGAATCATTTAATTCTATCAACACTATTCAAATTTAATTCACAGACCTTTTATTTTGGCAAAAATATAAAATTAAAACAGGAAATAAATGTAAAAATGTAAAGTATTATTTTAATGTAAATTACGTCTTTTTTACATATTTAACGACTTAGAGACAAGTCAAAATTCAGCACGAGCCGCAATTCATAAAATTCAATTTAAAAACAAATTTTATGCATATTAATTCATGAAATATTCCATAGTCAAATAGAATATACACCTTTTTATGTTAATAATGTGTCGACTTGCAAACGATAAACATCATCATCAGCCTATCGCAGTCCACTGCTAGACATGGGACTCTCCCATTGCACGGCACTTCGATCGATTTTCGGCTTCTCGCATTCAACTCCTGGCAGACATCTTGCGCAAATCATCAATCCACCTGGCCTGTGGGCGTTCTACACTACGTTTGCCAAGACGCAGTTTCCACTCAAGAACTCGTTTACGCCAACAGTTGTCGGTTCTGCGGATAATATGGCCAGCCCGTTACCACTTGAGTTTGCCTATCCGGTGGGCTGAGTTGATGATCTTGGTTCTCTGCCGGATTACCTCATTCCGGATGCGATCCCTTAGAGAAAAGCCGAGCATAGACCTTTCCATAGCACGCTGAGCGACTTTAAGCGACAACGATTAACATACTTCTATGCCTATCTTACGAATACTGACCGAACTTCAGAGTAACTTTTAATTCTGCATCGCGCAATAATAGATCACGTACTCATTAGTATATATATAGCTCTCGTGGGCTAGCCATGCCTCGTCACATATGAGCCAGGCTCGATACCACAGCCTCACAAAAAACGATGTTATGCTGTTTTTAAATTGCTTTTGTGAGTGAAAGTGAGTTAGCGAGGTTGTCGGAGCCTAAATCCTTCCCTTCTCCCTGACTTTGGGGGAAGGGACTGAAATTGCGGCAACAAACTTGTGACTCTTGAGATGCTGGCGTCAATAGGGGTCGGTAGTGAGTTAACATCAAGTGATCCGACTGTACGTTTAACCCGCAATTCCATAAAAAATATACATCTTCCTAACATAAATCATTTGAGGGCTGGAAAATTGTTCCTTTAGTAACTTCAACGATGAAATGTAACGAAGGAACTGCTTGTCACCGTTTTCGGAATGGTAATGGATTTATTTTGTACCTGAAGTTAAAAATTTGCCATCTCTTTGCTGTGCTGTTGTCCTGCAAAGTTTGCTCTCTCAGTTGGCTCTTACGACACCCACGGGATGAAAAGGTGTATGTATGTATTTAGTATACATATACTAGCTGTACACTGCTAAGCTTTGCTGTGGCACATTGTGGGGTTGCATTGATGATAAAAAAAGAACAAAGGTGAAAAGAAAAATAGATAAAAATAAAAAGCCGTGTGGTGTCGTGGGACACCCGATAGGAACGAAGTTGTGACGATCGAGTAAAACTGTTTCGACACGATTTTAATTACAACGCCATCTATGAAAGCGGCTATTACCTACATATTTTTCGGTTGGTTTTTAATTAAAACAAGCGCGCGATAAGGAACTTCGTTCCAACAATATTTGTGTTGTATCGTGTCAAAATTTGAGCTTAGTGCAGAATTTTTTGAGTTTTTTGAAGCGTACACAAACCGACATAACACTTTTATATCTATAGATATGTTTATTAGAAGTCCGTTTAAAATACTTGTAGTACAGGCTCTACCAATTTTAACACCAGTTGGTATGTGAATTATTTCCAGTTATTATAATTACGAGTAATCATTTTTTCCGAACGGTATTTTATTTCGGATGAAAAGAACCCAAGTATATGATTTTCTTTAACCCAAACCTTTGATGAGTTAAGTAGTTAAGGCGTGAAAGTGTAACAAACCATACATTGGGGTATATTTTTCTATTGCATCACATACATACCTGTGATATGGTCTTTCGGTAGATGTGGTTGTGAATTGACCCAATCTCTTATTTTCTTTATGTCCTCTGGCTTTATCCCAGTCTTCTTTTTATATTCTTCTTCTAAAGAAATCTGCTTTACAGCCATCTTTCTGAAATTATTTAATGTATTTTTATTTTTTATGAGCTTTGTCCAAGTCCCCCGCGACACAGGATATATTCCTAATGCGGGATTTGACTTTAATCTAAAAAAACAAGTTAAAAAATATATGCTTTTGCTAAACCGTTCACCGTTTGTTTCGATCATTCATTCATTGTGCATACAACGATTGGCACGCCTGCCTAAGGCATAGATAAAACACTACGAGTATAAATCCAACAATCTAAGGTCTGCGGTCATTACAAAGTGGTTTGTTAGTTAATTGTAGTCACAGAACTTTTCAACATTTGTTCGTTCGTTCGAAAATAGTGTGTTTATTAGACATGTGACAAAATCATAGTAAACTTTGATTTATCATTCGATTATTTCCTTCGTAGGAAAAAAAAAAAGGGTTGCCACTTACTCACGCGTTGTTGCCAATAAGTTGTTTTCAGACGATGCATAAAGATCCTATTTTGCCTATTTAACAATAAACCTAGTATTTTTCTTATTATTATGCAGGGAATGGTAGGTATATATTAAAAAAAAAACTAGATTTAGTAAACCCAGTATTTATTATTATTATTTTGCTATGGTACCTATTTATAATAAAACTAGCTGACCCTGCAAACGTTGTTTTGCTATTTACATTATTTAATTTTTTTTTTTTAATTTCTTAAAATCCGTTCTTAGCTGACCTCTACTCGGTGAAAAGAATATTAGTACCAAATTTCAAGTCTTTAGCTCTAATGGTTCCAGAGATATCGTGATGAGTGACTATATACGTGGAAATCTCTTATATATATATAGATAACTACTAAATTTATTGTTAAATAGGCAAAATAGGGTCTTTATGCATCGTCTGAAAACAGTGTTATGTCCGTGTGGTGACGGATTAAGAATACAGAATGTCACCACCCCTCTTCATTCCCTGGGTGTCGTAAGAGTCGAGTAAGGGAGCAAACTACGCAGGACAACAGCACTGCAAAGAGAAGGAAAACTTGAAACAAACCCTATACCAACCAGTCTGGCCAGCGTAGTTTAGTAGGCCAAAACCTCCTTTCTATGGAGAGGCGTATGTCCAGCAGTGGACTGGTAAAACATCGAATGATATGAATGATGTGCCGTTTAAACCACTACGTCATCCAAAGGCAATTTTAAATTTCATCACACATCACATCAACAGCCTTTACTAGTCCACTGCTGGATATAGGCCTCTCCTTAGAGAGGAGGTTTTGGCCTTCTATACCACGCTGGCCAGACGGGTCGGTATAGGGTTTGTGTCAAGTTTTCCTTCTTTTTGCAGTGCTGGTGTCCTGCGTTGTTTTGCGCCCTTAGTCGGCTCTTACAACACCCACGGGATGAATTGGGGTAGTGACATACCGTATTCTTAGTCCATCACTACACGGACATTTTAAATTTAAGCCCCTTAAATGTAGTCTAAATAATCGAAACCAATCATGAATATCAAATTTAGTTTTTTTTTACGAACTTTATACTGTTGTGTTAAAGTTCACTTTAGCAACAAAAACATTATATTATTAGCAAACTACATATATGTTAATTGCCCTTGAAAACTTGTTTGATCAACAAAGCAATCTATACATCTACACAAATAAATAAAATTGAAGTGTCTGTTTGTAATGTCAAAATAATATGTCTTTTCACGCTCGCACGGTTATTTGCACGATACCTATGCCTAAAACCAGTTTTTTTTGTATGTCTGTGCCTGTTTGTTCAGGGTAATCTTCTAAACGGCTTTACCGATTTAGATAATATTTTACTACCAGGTAGCTGTCTAAATAAGGAATAACTGACTATTTTTTCTCTCAGAAAACCCTTTAAAAGTTGCCCGGTCCGGGCATCGAACCCACTAAGGCAGCGCTTTTCAAATTCCACTCGAACGAAGTCGCGGGTACCAGCTAGTAAGAAATATATTAAGATAACTAGCTGACCCGGCAAACGTTGTATTGCAAAACAAAAATAAAATAGGGATGGGTCACCCTTACCATTTAGGGGTATGAAAAATAGATGTTGGCCGATTCTCAGCCCTACCCGATGTGCACACAAAATTTCATGAGAATCGGTCAAGCCGTTTCGGAGGAGTACGGGAACGAACATTGTGACACGAGAATTTTATATATAAGATATTATATTTTATTGTTCCACTGTTGAACATTTAATTTGCTTATTTGTAAATGCCGACTGTCAGTATTCGTACTGTCTGTGGCACTTGGCCTGTCTTATCCCCTCTTCATGGATCTTTCACGACTACACTCGTTAGAAAATAGTTACGAGTATCCTACTTTATTGCGCTTACATCGTAAAAAATATTGTAATAAATTCTTCATTCTTTAATTTTCACCCTTAGGGATCACACGGTAAGTATACCCTTTCAAATAAATTATAATTATCCAAATCGGTTTACAAATGACACAGTTCTGAGATAACAAACATAAAAATTCCTACATCCAAATTGAGAACATCCTTTTTTGAATTCGGTTAAAAGTGAGTACATCAGGTATTTGTGTAACGTATGAATTATCATTGTCATAAGCCTCTCCTCAAAAAGGAGGTTTTGGTCTTCTATACCACACTGTCCAGGCGGGTTGCTATAGAGTTTGTTTCAAGTTTTATTTATTTACTTTATTTACTATTAGTACCCGCGACGGTGTGCGGTTTTAGTCGGTTCGAGTCCGACATTCTTCTTCTTTTTTTTTTAAAGACAACTCCCGCATTAGGAATACATTAAATTTACAAACATACATGAAACGGACACAAAGAACACTCAGACTCAGAACAACAATTTGTGGATCACACAAAGTGTCGTCCCGTGTGGGGTTTGAACCCACAACACTCGACGTAGTAGTTAGCAGCGTGGCGACCGCTTAAACCACTACGCCATCCGTGCAGTCAAAACAGCCACCGATAGGTGGTATCCGAGGGGATTTCCTCACGGAAAAAAAAAGGTGGACTTAATGCCCATGGCTTTCTCTCCCAGTCAACCTTCGGGTGATGTAGAAATATGATGCTGTAGGTTCAGAGATAAAAAGTTTTCCTTCTATTTGCAGTGCTGTTTTTTTTTCAAATCTTTATTTTTTAATAAGGGATTTTTGTTCACAAGGATACACAACACAATTTATCTTAATATTTTCTAATTAAAATGAGAATTATTGATGAGTGCTGTGGCCGACTTCCATCAAACAACACAACCGAATTGCAATTACCGTCTTTGAATTTGCCAAAATACTTAGAACAAGCCAAACCTCCCTTAATTCGTCACTTCACGGATTTGACGTTTGATTAACTATCCGAATTATGCCGTTTTAAAAACATTCTCTTCTAACTACAAAGTGCAAGGTTATAATGGCTAAACATGTTTTTTATGCGATCGCTTTAGTATAATGATAAAATGCATGACTTTGTAATTTTAATACTTACTAATGCTGTGAGACTTTGCCATTCAATATTCTACGTCAATAAAAAGTATATATACCTACCTAGCTACTTATCTATATACCAACATATATTTTGATTTACCAACGAAGTGGTAAAATTGGTTAAAATATAAATTATGCATTTTTTTTTCTGTTAGTCTAGTGGCTTTGACTGCAAAGACAGAGGTTATAGATTCGATTCCCACCCAGGACAAAAGTTGTATGATGAGCACGATCATTTGTCCTATTTCTTTGTATAATTTATGAAAAATATCTAATGAATATAGAAATAAATAAAATATTTATCAGCATTCTGGTTACCATGAAAGGCTATGCCTAATTTGGAATCAAATGGCCGGGTGTGATATGTGTCAAAATATTATGATCATACATGTAAAAACAAATGATCCCCAATACACAAATCGCCAGTATTATCGATCTTAGAATGTAATCCATACTTATGTTATAAATGTGTGTTTGTTTGTTTGTTACGCTTTCACGCCTGAACCACTAAACCGATTTCAAAAATTCTTTCACCAATCGAAAGCTACATTATCAGCGAGTAACAAAGGCTGCTTTTTATCGCGATAACCGAATGACACGCGGGCGGAGCCGCAGGCAAAAGGTAGTTGAACTATCATCACATCAACAGCCTTTAATAGTCCACTGCTGGACATAGGCCTCTCCTTAGAAAGAAGGTTTTGGCCTACTATACCACGCTGGCCAGGCGGGTTGGTATAGGGTTTGTGTCAAGTTTTCCGTCTTTTTGCAGTGCTAGTGTCCTGCGTTGTTTTGCGCCCTTAGTCGGTTCTTACGACACCCACGGGATGAATTGGGGTAGTGACATTCCGTATTCTTAATCCGTCACTACACGGACAAGTAATATTCTGTAGTTGAACTATAAATGACCGGATATGTTACTGACCGTTCGAGCTGTGTTCTCTACAGCAGAGTTCTGCATGATGATCAGCAATTTGTCCTCAACTCATATACTAAGACTTGACCAATTAAACAATGCGACATATCTATACTAATATTATAAAGCTGAAGAGTTTGTTCGTTTGTTTGTTTGAACACGCTAATCTCAGGAACTACTGGTCCGATTTGAAAAATTCTTTCAGTGTTAGATAGCCCATTTATCGAGGAAGGCTATAGGCTATATATCATCACGCTAAGACCAATAGAAGCGGAGCACCAATGAAGAATGTTACAAAAATGGAGAAAATTTATTACTATTGAGAGACGCAGACGAAGTTGCGCGGGTCAGTTAGTTTTTAAATATACGTCCATATAATCTAGGACCCCAATTGTTAATACCGCCGTTTTCATTTTATACGACTATTATGCCTAGGAACTGCCTCAGTGGTGCAGTGATAGTGTATACGACTGCTGTGCTGAGGTTTAGGGTTCGATTCCCAAGTCGGACCAAATGTATGATCTGCAAATATTTGTTCCGGAGCTTGGGTGTTTTGCTATGTATAATAGTTACATTAGTGTCTTAATTTGTCCACTGCTGGACATAGGCCTCTCCTTAGAAAATACATTTTGGCCTACTATACCATGCCGGCCAGATGGTTGGTATAGGGATGGTGTCAAGTGACACTGACTGCTAAGCCGGAGGTCGTGGGTTCGATTCCCACCCTGGACAAATACGAATTGTGTGATGAGCACGATCATTTGTTCTGTGTCTGGGTGGAATTAACCTATATTATGTATGTAATAAGAAGTATATAAATATGTTTATCAGAAGTCTGGTTACCAAGGTACAGACTCTGCCTAGTTTGGGATCAGACGGTTGTGTGTGAAAAACTAAGTTTGACTCTATTTAGGTACCTACATTTCAAAATATTTGCAGAAATGTAAATTAAAAAAAGGTTGGGAATTTAAAAACAGGTTTAAAAAAAGGTTCATCGAAATAACTAATTAAAAATCAGGTATCTTGTTTTAAAATTATCACCTGTTATTTTACCTACCGCTCTTTAAAAATACAGTACACTACAATAAATACAAAACTATATCACTTGCACAAAAACACAAATAAATGCTGAACAAAAACGTAAAAGTTACTGTGAATTTTGTGTGTATTTGTTTTGTTAACACGTCCTCAGCGCGTCACACCGCTGCCTTGACTAAATAAAATCAAAAAGCACGAGGCATTTCTTAGGTACTATTGATGGAATAAAATCACAATCACCTGTGATAAATCACACCTGTGACTAAGTTACAAACCGACTGCGACTTATTATTACGCTAGTGCCAAACTCGCGAAAGGTCTAAAATCTAAAAACCAAGGTCGTAATCTTTAATAAAAAGAATATTGATTGATTTTAATGGCATTTATCTTTGTCTAACTTGTTATTTGTTGGTCCGCGTGGTAACGGATTAAGAATACAGAGTGTCACCACCCCTACTCATCCCGTAGGTATCGCAAGAGGCGACTAAGGGAGCAAACTACGCAGGACAACAGCACTACAGAGAGAAGGAAAACTTGACACAAACCCTATACCAACCCGTCTGGCCAGCGTGGTGTAGTAGGCCAAAACCTCCTTTGTAAGGAGAGGCCTATGTCTAGCAGTGGACTGTTAAAGGCTGTTGATGATGATGATGATGTTATTTGCAGGCTATAATTTGCGGACCTGTTGTTTCAGCGATGGTCGTTGATTCGCTCAGGACAAATAATTGATGTAAGTAATTTATCTTTAATATTTATGTATTTGGTAATATATAAGTATGGTTATCAGCAGTTTTATTGCCATAGCCATAGGAACTTATGAATGTTAATATTTTATTCTTTATGAATAAACGATTTAAAAAAGAAGCACAGGTACTGTCTAATTTTGAGCCAGACAGCCGTGTTTGAGATGTCTCGAGTTGTTATTAATATTAATGAATTGTTTTATTAAGACAATTCATTTAAATATAATATAGTAATAATATTTTGGATATGTAACACACAACGCCACCGAGTTTCAAGCTAAGCAGAGCTTGTACTATGAAAGCTAGTTTTTTATTTTTTATTTATTTAAAAGTCCCGAATTAGGAATAAATCCTGTCTCGCGGGGGACTATACAAACATAAACGAAACGGACACAATAAACACCCAGACTCAGAACAACAATTTGTGGATTTCACAAAGTTGTCCCATGTGGGGTTTGACCCACAATACTCGGCGTAGTAGGAAGCGGCGTGGTGACCGCTTAAACCACTACGCTACACTACTATGTACAAACGTATTTTTTTATATACAAACGTTATACATATATACACAATACAATTTGTATAAACGTTATATAAATTGTATTGTGTATATACAAGCGTATTTTACATAGAAAACTCTGAAACAAATATTTGCAGATCATACAAATATTTGGTCCGACCCGGGAATCGGACCCGAGACCTTAGCACAGCAATTATGTCTATAGTCTCTCAATAGTTTTAGTAAATATCTCTATTGACACGCATAACAAGCTTTTATTAACATTAGCACTTATATATAACGTACTAGTTAATCATGTAAAAAAATCTTGGTAGTCAATTTAACCTTACTTTTAATTGAAATATCGTAATAAAACTTTGTATGATTACTTTTTTTTTCTGATATAAGGGGGCAAACGAGCAGACGGGTCACGGTCACATGGTAAGGAACTACCGCCGCCCATGGACACCTGCAACTCAAAAGTCACAAGTGCGTTGCTGCCCTTGGAGTCCCTCCCGCTCGAGTCAGCGGAAGGGGGGATTTGGGATTCGGTAACCTTACTCACTCAGTAAAAGGCAACGAAAGAATTGCTTAACTCTCTGCTCTCCCACGGCAGGAGAAACTACTATGCATACTTTGATGAGATGATGGTGAAACGTGGAGGTGGATAGTGTAAGTTTTCAGCAGCTTCTGGTAAACCATTTGTGTTTAGGCTCTTTTGATTAATTTATCTTTGTTCAATAGATTGAAGTTCTGATGGTGAACCCAGGCGTTGTATAAAATAATGCATGTTGTTTTACAAAACTATAGTTCAATACTATATAGTAATAGTGTGTTTTTTATTATTTTTTTCGATGTTCCATGTTTTTTACTTCATTTTTTACTTTCTATTTTATCTTTTTTCTCTATCTTGTCTTTATCCCTTCATCGCTTTTTTACCTTTTAGTCTTCAGTAACTGACATACTCCCACATACCAAAACAATTTTGTAGTAGATTTAATGATACCATGGTATCTACCTGGCAGTCTTAAAAGAGCAGCCGTGAGTCTATTTACCTCTCTTCTTATAAGACTCAACCCCTTGAAAACCGGGGATGTACTTCGGCACTGGCATGTAATAGATTTTCTACAGGTATACATTTATTTTAACACATATTTGACAAAACAGATTGTTGCTTTTGTGCTTTTCAAATAAGTTTACGTAAAGAAACGATTTCAAATAATTTTAACAGAATTTTTTAAATTAAGGATATTTTGACCTTGATTCCCTACTAAATGTTATATTTAATCAATATCCATGGACCGTGGGAGGGGGGGAGGGGTGATTCTATCACCACTTTGGGGAGGCTATGAAGGCTAAATGTTGTAGAAAAGGAACACGCTATTATCTAGTAGTAGTACTCGTAGTATCTTGGAGGGGTTAAATCGCCTTCTATATTTAATGCTGTGTTATAAAGTTGTGGAACTAGATATTTAATGCTGTGTAATAAAATTGTTTACCTAGATAATTATATTTATGATATTTTATTGCGTAAACCCACCACGCAAACTATATAGTAATTATGAGCAGTATATCACTCTTTTCAGCATTTGTTTGTCTGTTTGTTACTTGACAATAGTTGAAAGAAATTAAGTAATTACAATGACTTATCGGTGTGGTGACAGATTAAGAATGCGGAATGTCACTACCCCTGTTCATCCCGTGGGTGTCGTAAGAGCCGACTAAGGCAGCAAACTACGCAGGACAACAGCATAGAAAATAGATTGAAAACTTGAAACAAACCCTATACCAACCCGTTTTACCAGCGTGGTATAGAAGGCCAAAAAGTCCTTTCTAAGGAGAGGCCTATGTCCAGCAGTGGACTATTATAGGCTGTTGATGTGATGTGCTGTAAATGAATTACTTAAAAATTAATAAAGGGATACGATTACATCAAAAACAGCGACAAATAAACTCATCCTGAAATATAGATTTTTGCTTCGATTGCTTTGCAGGGTTTCCTCTGAGTTCTTTTGTTTTTTTTTACCATTAGAGAATTTTAAAACCAATACACAGTACACCAATAGTCAGGCAACAAGATCACTTATAATGACCTTCTAGACAGAACCAGTATGTATTTAATTACATGTCATGGATAATTATAGGATTATAACTGAAGTCAGTATGTTTCATAATGACTGGGCAATAGAGTCGTTATGTGGTATTGTATATTTAAGTCGAATACTTAAATATGCATATATTTCGTATTTTTTTAAAAAGACAACTCCCGCATTAGGAATAAATCCTGTGTCGCGGGGGACTTTACAAACATACATGAAACGGACACAAAGAACACCCAGACTCAGAACAACAATTTGTGGAGCACACAAAGTGTCGTACACACGTAGTAGGAAGCGGCGTGGCGACCGCTTAAACCACTACGCCATCCGTGCAGTCGAAGTGTTCCGTAAATCATTTTACAGTGGGCCCAAGTTTCACTTAAGACTCTATGTTAAAAAGATTGCTGTTAAACATTACCAGTAGAAGATTATTTCTTATCTTTTGATGATCAGGGTAGGACAGTCAGCGGTTAAACTGATGATGTAACTTAACATATTATTATGTGGTTTCGAACATTGATTTTAATAAGATACTTCAGGTTCGCTCACTGTTTATTACTAAGGCCACTCTTTGTATGTCTCGAGCTGTTGTCTGTATCTGTATCTATTGAATAAAATAAATAAAATTTGTACTATTACTACTGCTAGTACCGTTACTCTCTGAAGTACCGGGAAGCCATCGTTTGGAAAGTACGTTTAAAATAACTTTTATTGTTAGTCTGATTTTTGTTACGTTTTTTTATAATTCTTAAATTTTGTTTATCTCGAAAATGTACATAAGATTCACGTTGAATCGTTATACAAAAATAAGTACTACAAAAGTGAGTAGTACAGTGCATTTAAAAGCGTCGTAGTAGGCCACTTCTCTCCACCTTACAATCGTAAAGAGAATCATATCTAAAATCGATGTTAAGGGCTAAGAGAGATAGCTGTTTATCTGTTTCTTATGATTTTTAATTATTATATGTATAAATTGTGTTGCCTCTCTACAGATGCAGACCATAATTTACCCCCAACACTTTTTCATTCAAAACTAAAGTGAAGCAGTATTTTGCAAAGCAACTGGCAGAATCAAGTGACGTATGATTGTCATCTACTATTATTAATAGTATTTATTTAGGTATGTATGTATTTATGTAAGTTTATATGTATTTAAGTATATGTATGTACGTATGTATTATGTGAATGGGTTCTAGTGTATGATAGGTTTATGTACGCGTATTTGATATTATAACTACCATCAAACTTTAACCAAAAAGCACCTACTTCCTGTTCTCTCTGCATCACCCAAAGGTTGACTGGTAGAGAATGCCTTAGGCATTAAATCCGCCAGTGCACCAAAAGTGCATGATGTATAAATAAATAAATAATTTTCTACAAACACTCGATCAAAAGATTAAATAAAGGTCTCTGGAAGATGAGATAGTACCAGTCAGTTACCTCTTTTTCAGTGGTTCCGGTGGACAGTTCCGTATTCCATTAGTCAAATAAAAACTTTAATTAAAGATAAGTAAGAAAAAAATTAAACATTACAAACTAGTATTCAATATCCAAGTTGTGTGAATATATTTCTTTGTTCTTTTTTAAAAAAACAACTCCGGCACTAGGAATATATCCTGTGTGGCGGGGGACTTCACAAACATACATGAAACGGACACAAAGAATACCCAGAACGACAATTTGTGGATCACACAAAGTGTCGTCCCATATTGGGATCGAACCTACATCACTTAGCGTAGTTAGAGATGGGATGGCGACCGCTTAAACCAATACCCCATGCGCTATTCGTGCAGTCAAAAAAATATTTGAGGACTAAACACCCTAGGAGACAGGTCATCATCAACAGCCTTTAATAGTCCACTGCTGCACATAGGCCTCTCCTTAGAAAGGAGGTTTTGCCCTACTATACTTAAAACAAACCCTATACCAACCCGTCTGGCCAGCGTAGGACAAAACCTCCATCCTAAGGAGAGGTCCATGTCCAGTAGTGGCTGGCAGTTAGAGGCTGTTGATGTTCATAGCTATTATTTATATGTATATAAATTTATATAAATGTTCATAGCTATTACATAAAATATATTTATTACTAGGCACATTTTTAAGACTCTCTAGTTTGGGATCAGACGGCCGGTGAAAATATTATTATTATGTTAACCATGGAGAAGTAAATTTTTTTTTTCTTTTCCAACTCTGTATTTACGTATTTTTACGAGAATGATTAGGTACCTAAGAAATGAATGCACAGCCAAGTCATGTCTGGTTTTATCATTAAGTCCGTGATATTACAAACCACTAAGAAAAACGGGTCATTGTACTATCAACATGAACCCTAATACAAGCAATTTAGCTTTACTTGAGAGGTTAATTCTTATGGAAGAAGTATTTTTTTTTAATTAAATATATACTTTTTACTATTTAACTGTACCTACACTAAGTTAAAAATGCCATATTGTCAAAGCACAGCGTTCTTGTAATGCATAGAAATATAAAGCTAGCACGAAACTTTATGAGGTCACCAATCTCAATTTTAGGTATTTTAATAACATTTCTGAGAGGTGACCCGTTGTTAAAATAATTACCACGGTACGATCGGAAAACAACTGTTAAACATGGTCCCTCGAACTTTCTTAACACATTGAGTCCCCTCTTTTTGTTTTTTTTTCCGTGCGGAAATCCCCTCGGATATCGGTGGCATGTCGGACTCGAACCGACTAAAACCGCACGCCGTCTCGTTTACTAAGTCCCTGGTGGAAAGGAAGTCCCTGGTGCACATTGAGTCCCCTCTGGGCCTCGGAGAGCACGTGGAGCCATCGCCGTCGGTCCCAGTTGCCATGCGAACATTTGTAGCAAACGTTACGTGCAGTTAGAGCCCTTAATAGTCCGACTATAGTCTATCTACAGACCTTCGATATCTTCTTAAAAAATCGAAGTTCAACCTTCTCGTGGTAGACTGAAACCAGACCCAAACCTAGATTAGGAAAAGGGCTCGGAGGATGATGAAACATTCACACAGATTAAACTATATCTGCTCCATTTTAGGATTCACCGAACAGTTAAATAAATAAAAAACATCTGAATTACACTTCCTGCTCCACCCAAACTTTTAATATTAAGTTGTACCAATTTTATTTGCTCAGGATTTTTTTTATTTCAATCAATATCTAGTTTCTTGAAAGATCCTTCCACAGATCCAAAAATATCGGTGATGGTCTTCGGCTTACCAGGCCTCAGGGACTCCACTACACGTTTCTTATTTTCTTGCTGGAAGAATTCTTTAGCGTTCTTCACTTTTTCTATCCAATGATCTGTAGGAAAAGAGAAAGAATAAAATAGTAATATTTTCAATATATTCTATTTTATGTTTCCTAATCTTATTATTAATGACAATTATAACTTTACACATCTCACATATGGTCTTCTGAACGCAAACTTTGGACTGCACGGATGGCGTAGTGGTTTAAGCGGTCGCCACGCCGCTTCCTAATACGCCGAGTGTTGTGGGTACAAACCCCACATGGGACGACACTTTGTGTGATCCACAAATTGTTGTTCTGAGTCTGGGTTTTCTTTGTGTCCGTTTCATGTATGTTTGTAAAGTCCACCGCTACACAGGATATTTTTCTAATGTGAGGGAATTTATTTCTACACGTGAAATAAATGATCGTGCTTATCAAACAATTATTATTTGTCCTGAGTGGAAATCGAACCCACGACCTCTTAGTTGATAGTCAGAATCATTAGCCACTAGGTCAACAAGCCCGTCCAGGTTAGATATAAATGGGACTAAAATTATAGTCAGAAATATGTGGCCGTTTAGTACGCTTCTGTCTACCACTTAGAGAATAAAAGCCGTGAGTGTATATACATACACTGGTGTATACTCGTCTCATATGTGTATCATCATCATCAACAGCCTTTAATAGTCCACTGCTGGGTTTTTAGAAAGGTGGTTTAGGCCTTAACCACCTTATAGACCACGGTGGACAGACGGGTTGGTATAGGGTTTCTTGTCCTGCGTAGCTTTCTCCCTTAGCCGGCTCTTAGGACACCCACATGATGAATAGGGCTTGTGACACTCCGTAATTTAATCCATCACCACCCGAACACATATGTGTATCATCATCAACAGCCTTTAACAGTCCACTGCTGGACATAAGCCTCTCCTTAGAAAGGAGGTTTTGGCCTACTATACCACGCTGGCCAGACGGGTTGGTATAGGCTATGTTTCAAGTTTTTCTTCTCTCTGTTTCTTCTTTCTACATATGTGTATGTATTTATTTAACAAACTGATGACATTGCAATTTCCACTTACCTCTTGCCTGGTCAAAAGTCTTGAAATTTCCTCCGGCTTCTTTAGGTAATGCTTCTATGGGTACATATTTATCAATCGTTTTAGACCCTGTCTGGTGTATAACTAGCATATCCATAAGTTCCTTCTTCATAAATGGCCGGATCACCATCAACAACACGTCAATAAAAGATGGAGCGTTCACGAAATGTAAGCCTTTGATTTTTACCAATAGTGCTTCCTGCAATTGTAGGAATATCATTTTAGTTATGCAAAATATATGATCATTTGTTTGCTGGAAATTAATTTAGTTACATGAGCGCTCTTTTTATACGTGACAACAAGTGGTTATTTTTAACCGACTTTTAAAAAAGGAGGCGGTAATAATATACCACCCCTGAGGTTGCAAAATTAAGTTGAAGTCGGTGATACTTAAGTTAAGAAGATTAAATTTATTCACAGTATTTGTGATGTCAAATGCTTAGCGTGGCGACGTGTCGCTACGGAAAGCGTCGCCACTCCATGTGCTAGTATTTGTAACATGTAATGCGGTGCGTTTTATGTGCTAACTGCTACAAAATAATTACGATGTTTTAAATCGGTCAGACATCCCATGAGCGACGGCTCAATTTAAAGCAAAAACTGGTATATAATAACTTTGAACATGTACATAGTATTCCATATTATTGATACTATATCTAAAACACAGGCACCTAAGGCGTTTCCTTAGCTTTAACTGCCAGTGTTTTTGGTTATAGCATACGTACAAAAATACATTCATTCTCTCACACAGACATATTTGCGTACAATGTCGAAGGAATAGGCAAAACCATTCCAGAACTAAGTTTCAACATTTTTCTGACCCTAATTTTAGCCGCAATTATATAACATGGGTCACAACTATTGTCTTCAACTGGGAACTTTATAAATTAAATGGGAAAATAACGAGCATATTACGATAAACGAAAAGAAAGGTAGATAAGAAAGAAAGAGAGACAGTGGTAGGTAAAGGATATTGCTAACACAGATGAGGGGTATAAAGCTCGACCAGGTCAGGGTCGCATATCTGTGACTCGCTCTGGCCATTGCCGGTCCAAATCCTTCTTTAATCACATTGTTGACAAACACGATAAGTTAGTAAACAGCAAGAGAAAAAATACGTTTACTAATCATCATCACCCGCCGAGCCTTTTTGGTTAGGTTGGGGTTTACTTTCAGTCTATTAAGACACGGCTGAAATTAGCTTTTTACGTGGAGTGACTGCCATCAGACTAACACAACCCAAGTATCAGGTGATATCGAAGTTGTGTACATAGACTGTTTTTTTTTTGACTAATCCCACCCACACGCCCACCACTGTAACTCCTGTACACCAGGATCCGCAGCAGTGACCCACGAACACACCGGGTTATGACACTCGGGAAGTCCCAGGAAGAAATTAAACTGTCTTGGAACCCGCAACCAAATTAATCAGAAGAAAATTGGAGTAGTTGGAAATACAGTAAATCCACTTCCCTCCTTAGCAAAGCGGGAGACAAAATTAAGTAAAATAGACCCATAGACTGTTGTCGGACTTTTTAAGGCTCCAACTAACCGTGATGATTATCACAGATGTGGCACGGAGGGGTCTTAATGTGCTAAGAAATGATCACCTGTCCATAGAACTAGCTAGGATTGCGTAACTACGCAATGTGCTAACATACTCAGTTATATGTATTTTTATATATTTTTTATATACCTAACATTTCCACCAGGTTGCACTGGCTATGGTCAGAGGCTTCGTCGAGTCCGTGAGGTAGAAGTTTTTTCATTAAATTTATTACAAAGGTGAAATGGACTGGTTTAAGCGGTCACCACGCCACTTCCTACAACGCCGAGTGTCGTGGGTTCAAATCCCACATGGGACGACACTTTGTGTGATTCACAAATTGTTCTGAGTCTGGGTGTTCTCTGTGTCCGTTTCATGTATGTTTGTAAAGTCCCCCGCGACACAGGATATATTCCTAATGCGGGAGTTTTCTTTAAAAAAAAAAGAAAAAAAAGGGTCCATACCTGTAGGAAGTACAAGAACTGCTGCACTGTCTGCACGTCGAGTTTGCTAATGTGCGACAACGTAAGCTTGTCGAGGTCAATTATGATCACGAATCCTGGCCACGTTCCTTGTTCGTACTGAATCAGGTCCACTATCATTAAGACAGCTCTGGAAATAAAAACAAAACAGAAATTAACTTTGAAATTGTTTTATTTAAGGGATAATTCTTGAAGGAAAGAGAAGGAAAACTTGCCACAAACCTTACACCAACCCGTCTGGCCATTGTGATAGAGTCAGCCCAACACCTCCTTTTTTAAGGAGATGTCCTATGTCCAGCAGTGGACTATTAAAGGCTGTTGATGATGATGATTCTTCTTGAAGCAATTCTTTTGTTTTATTTCACCAAGGGAGTGAGGTTATCAGAGCCCAACTTTCCCCTGTCAAGTTGAGGGACCCTTTGATTTATCAATGGCTCAAAGGTCAGTTTTGCACCTGTAACTTATCAGTTGCAGGTGTCCATGGGCGCCGGTAGTCACTTACCATCAGGTAACCCGTCCCCAACCCCATACCATAAAAAAGAAACTAAAGATAAACTAAAAAAAAACATACATATGTACATATAAGTACGTTTGATAATCTTTTTAATTTTGCATCAATTAATTTGCTGCACGTGTCACTGAAGGTTTTAAAATAATAATAATAATAATATAATAATATTCTACCACATTCACACAACGCCATCTAGTCCCAAACTAAGCAGAGCTTGTACTATGGGTACTAGACAACTGATATAAATACATATATACTTTTTGTAAATACATACTTATTATACATAGAAACACCCAGACCAAATCATACATTAAATGTTCATGCACACAAATGTTTGACTTGAGCGGGAATCGAACCCGCGACCTTTGGAATTGCAGTCCGTTACACAAACTACTACGCCATTCGGTCGTCAAAAAATGTTAATGGTACTATTTTAGAAGTAGTTATTTTTTAATTTATTTACAACTTTATGCACTTGTGTATATCGTTACAATGTATACAAAATAATTTAAATATGTTCACATAAATTGCTTATGCATACTTGCCTCATAAAATATATCGTAAAATTTATGTCGTCGGTTTTGCCTCAATGCACCCGTTAACATAAACATTAGTTTTAAAAAACTATATCGTTAAAATAGAAAATGAATTAAAATTACTTTTTCCAAAATTTAGACAGCTTTTTAATGGGTAAAAAATTGAATTCCCGAGAGGCAGTACAAAATTCCTTTGAAGAGTTGCCAATAAACTGCCAATGCGTTGGCAAAGATGCGTCGATTGCATGGGTGATTACTTCGAATAACAGAAATAAAAAAGTTTGAAAAAATAAGTACTTTCACTTATTTCATACAAAACGGCAATTTTAAAGGTAAAGACCTATTATAACCACATGATGTGTCATAATACGCTTAAAGTAGGATCCATAGCAGCCCATCCTCCACAGCATCCACCGCAACGCATATTTTACTAAGTTTTGTGTACTTGTAACTGAGCTTTATGGGAAGAAGAAATTCTTTTGAAACTTTTTACATTTTTTGTATATTACTAAGTTAGATGAATATTTGACATGTATTTCCAAGCCACCCTCAATTCTTAGCAGTAAGAGAAATCTTTGTACCAACCTGATGGTGTCTGCAAAAACGAAGTTCTTGACATCATAGTCCACCAGCCTGCAGTAGATGACGGCTGAATCATCATAAGCCTTCATGTCTAGTGGCGTGAGGACACTGAAAATAACTAAATTTTAGAAGACAAACAAAAGTAATCTTTTATTGACTCTTAATTTCCTCCGTTATTCTATCTCCACTCCATCCGTCATCAATTTTATTTACCTATGGAATGGGCTCTCTTCAGTGATTATGGTGTCTACCGACCATGACACGTTTAAGTCATTCCTTTTTTTTTTCTGTGCGGAAATCACCTCGGATACCACCTACTGGTAGGGTGGTTATGTCGGACTCGAACCAACCAAAAACCGCACGACGTACCTCGGGCCATCTACGGCGTATAGATGACCCCTCCTGTGTCGGAACCCCTATGTCCCCTTTGCCAGGTGCCTGCTTCTGCTAGGATGAAAGATGGCCTGACCTGGCCCCCACAGGCCTGCGCTTAGGCCGTTCTGAGTCGTCTGCGGTACCTGGTCCGTTTCCGTGCCTGGCGGACTGGGAGAGTTCTAAACCTTTCCCGGTCCCGCTCCGCCATCTCCTTAGGAAGTATGACTTGCTCGCAGAAGGAGCGGTAGAGTGCCACGCACTCTCGCTCCGTACCATGGCGGCCAGCATGTTATAGAGCGAGAGAATTCCCACTCAGATTACCGCCACGAGGCCACATAACACGTTTAAGCCTAAGCACCTAACCTTACGCTTAAACTTTACAAGACTGACAGAGACAGACTGATCCTCACACACTTCATTATAGTTGTGTAAATTTAAATATCTCCATATATGGATATTTTTTCTTTATTTTACTTATTTAATTTTCATGTTATAGGGGGCAGCCGGATCACCTCATGGTAAGTGATTGTAACACCTGCAACTCAAAAGATACAAGTGCGTTTCCCCCTTTTCAATCCACCCCCTCCAGTATTTAGATTTAACTACAGGTATGTATGTGTATTCACGTATATGTATGTTTGTATAACATTTCTTATTGTAATTATTTTTTTTATACCAGTCATATTTCTAACTGGTTCTTGCAAAGGCCGACTGGTAGATGATGTAAATGCAGGCAATGTTAAATAAAATAAAAATAAAATGCATATTAAGTATACATAGCATTTTATACTTATGTTAATTCGCTTCTAATGTTGAGGTGCATTATGCAGTTGTAACAGGAACACGGAACTCAGGCACATTTCATGGAGCTCTACTTCTTCAATGATCCACCACCGCAGACAGACATTTGAGAAGGCCAGCACAAAACAGCCATAATGTTGAGAAAGTATAGGAGAATTAAAAAATGCTTCTCCCACTATTTGTCAACTACTCGTCACTTACAAATATCTACGTCACTTACAATTACTTATTTCATTTACAAATACACCACTTACAGACTTCACTAACTAGTAGTGACAAGAGGTACTTTGAAGTACATCAACTCGAAATTAGGATATAGTTTAACGTCACAAACAAATGTTAAGAACGTGTTAAAACAAGAACAACTTACTAATAACTAAGTGTTTTTAGTATCTTGGCATCCACCAGTCTATCCTTAAAGAAGTTGGTAAACAGCGTCTTGAGCGTGAAGTGCAGGTCCAGCACCTGCTTTGCCACCTCAGCGCTTCGGTTACAGCAATGGTATGTCAGGATGAGGTCCATGTCTGAAAAAGGCACATTCCGTTGTCATGATAACACATTGCTCTATTAGTAATTAGGTTACAATCCCGTCAGTTGTTATAGTGCAGGGATTCCCAAACTATTTTGGGCAAGAGAACCCTTTTCCAAAATGAACTGATACCACAGACCCCCTTATCCAAATCACTTTAAAAATCCTATCTCTAGTTTTTTGCTCTTAATACGAAATATTTACCAATTTAAAAACTTTGCGGTGGACTGTCATAGGCTGTTGATGGGTGATGTTGATGAAGGGAATTTACTAAACTTGACGCAAAATTTAACAATATAAAAAGACATAAAATTCAGTTAATATCAAGTGTAATTAATAATTTTTAATACAAAAACCATAAAATACTTAAGTAAGTAAGTAATTAGTGAAAAAAAACACAGAACTTATACAGTTTCGTGAAAGTTTCAAATAAGAACTCGTGTTAGTTAATACAGGCCGATTTATTTAGACCTCGTCGATCCCCAAAATCTGTTTTCGTGTATGTATATGACCCCAAGGGGTCGATATCCACCACTTTGGGAATCCCTGCTATAGTGATTAGCGACCCTGACTGCTAAGCCAGGGCTTGTAGGTTCAATTCGATAGATCATTTGTTATGTTTTTGTAAAATCTATACTTAATCGTGAAAGTATTAATGAGGTACGATAAATTTTTATTACAGTTTCGTTCGAACTGCTCCGATTGTGGCAATAACCCAAAACAGTTTACAATTTGACCAATGGACAATTTAAATTATACTCACTGCAAATGTGACAGTAGATTCACTGCTAAGTACATTTGCGTAGGCGCAAGTGAGACTTGATTGTTACCGTTTTAGGTAATTTTACTACTCGTGTTACGTGTACGGTATATCTTAGTCATCTTGCTGTCCCACGCCCTATTTTATTAGGCGTAGGTCAAATGTGTTAAGAAACAATTTTGGCTGCTTTTTTATGTATTTTAAATTGACGTTGACATGGCGGGTCTGGTGGCCCTGACGGCTAATGTGATGAGTACAATGATGATTTGTTCTATGTATCTATGTACGAATTTAGTAATATATAAGTATGTTCTCAGTAGTCTAGTTTCTATAGGAATATATATAGTTTGGGATAAGACGGCCGTGTGTGAGATGTGTGAAGTTACTACTATTAACCATAGGAAACCTTTTTATGGCATAAGGGGTAAACCAGCAGGCGTGTCACAGTAAGTGACTACCGCCACCTATGAACGCTTGTAACTCAGGAGTCACATGTGCGTTGGAGTGCGGTTTAGGGAGGGGGGGGGGGGGCATCATCATCAATCATTATCAACAGCCTTTACTAGTCCACTGCTGAACATAGGCCTCTCCTTAGAAAGGAGGTTTTGCGTTGTTTTGCGCCCACCACTACCCACGGGATTAATTGGGGTAGTGACATTCCGTATTCTTAATCCGTCACTACACGGACAGGGGGGAGTACGTGTAACTATAGCTAAATTTCAACTTTGGAAAACTTACTGAGTATATTCCGAAAATTAAACCATATAGGATTAAAATAAAGAGTTTGAAAATATGTACTGAGACTGCACGGATGGCGTAGTGGTTTAAGATTCACAAATTGTTGTCCGTTTCTTTTTTTTCTTAAAAAAATCTTGTTATAGCTACGGAATTAAAAACCGCTGGTTCGATCCTTATTGTTTATCTCTATTAATAATAAAATTATAAAGCTAAAGAATTTGTTTGTTTGGTTGAACGCACTAATCTCAAGAACTATAGGTTCAAATTAGAAAATTATTTTAGTGTTACATTGCCCATTTATCGAGGAAGGCTAAATAATATCACGGTACGATAAATAGGAGAAGTGCATTAATGACAAATGTTTTAAAAACAGGAAAAACTTATTCCTTTTGAGAGACAGAATAAATACACACTGATTATATGTTGACCGGGCGTCAATTGAGCGAATCGTTTTACCACATGCAATGTGTATTAGTGGATAGGTCAAGGTTGGCTAGAACTCTAGTTTGTAGAGGTATATGTATTTACAAATATTAATAGTGGTTATTGTAGTTAAATAAATACGCCCTAGTTTATTCCTTTTAAAGCAAGTGATACCGTAAAAGTCGGTCCAGGCGTTCCAGAGATTAGGGTGTCCCAGTCAATCTTCAGGTGACGTGAGAACATGAAGCGGTAGGTGTAAAAAATAATAATATATTAAATATAATACAAATAGTTCATAAAATTTGACTAATAGATAAAAGATAACATTAAATATAATATAATATATCTCACACATCACACACGGCCGTCTGATCCCAAACTAGACAGAGCCTGTGCTATGGTAACCGGACTATTAACTAATAAAACAAAAAAATACTAATAAAAGAAAAAATAATATTAAAATAATATTGCTAATAATTGTGGTATGTATTATAATACTATGAGTCAAAGCAGATTTATGATAAACGTTGTACTTAATATAATAACTTGATTGCGGTTGTACATCAGATAAAGTTATTTAGAAAATTAAGGTATTACATGTTTAAATCGAAGTATTCAATGTTCATGAATAAATAAATAAATAAATGAAGTTTTTACATATTTTTACCCATCCAAATAAGCCAAGAATTTTCCAAATCAGTTCACAAACTATAAAACTATAAAATTAACTAAAACTATAAAATTAACAAACAATAAATAATAACAGACTGATGTATTATATTATTGGAAGAATTATGACCTAACTCCTTATATGTAGTCAAGCACCCTTCCATCATCAGCTCAGCAACATGAGATAATGACTACCAAACGCAAATATCTATATGGCTGGAGAAAACATGTTGTCAGGTTTGTAAAATTTGTGCATTTAACTCCATTTATCTGGGATTCCATCATCAGATCCTTGGTGATAATGTAACCACCTCGGGACACCCCTTTGATTAAATAAGAATTTTGAAAATCAGCTTATTATTGATGGAGAAATCTCGTAGGTAACAAACAGAACAAGAAGAAACAAAACAAAATACAGTCGAAAAGCGAGCCTTATCTTTTTTTGAAGTCGGTTAAAAAGGAAGCCACCAGTCTCTGCTCAACTACAAAAAATACAAATAACATAATATGTATGTACCTGTGATATGTTCTCTGGGTAGATGTGGCTGTGTCTCCATCCATTGCCGCAGTTTTCTTATATCTTGTCGTGTAATGCCCGTCTTCTTTTTATATTCTTCCTCTAGAGGGAAAGGAACTGTATCCATAGTCGTACTGAAAAAAAAACGGAGTTTTTTTTTGTGTGTTTTTGTTCACTAAATGTTTTTATTCAAATATTCATGTTGGTGACTTGGTAGGATTGTCACTCTGGTATAGAGAGATTCAGAAACCAGTGTAAATCGACTCTTTCGTTGAATTTGAGTGAGGTTACTGAAGACCTGTGGGCTCTGAACTGGGGACAAGTCCTCTGGCTTTGCATAAGGATGCAGCCGATTGCTATTGCTCATAGAATTTTTATGACATCATATTTTTTGAGACTTGACAAACATATATACAACCGGCACAAAGAACACCCAGCATCAGAACAACAATTTGTGGATCATACAAAGTGTTGTCCCATGTGGCCATCGAACTCACAACACTCAGCGCAGTAGAAAGCAGCGAGATGACCTCTTAAACTTATAGTCCAAATCTCTTTTTGAACTGCCACCTGTTTTATTTTTAAGTAATTTGTACTTAGACCATGTACCTAACTATTTGCACAATGTTTCTTAGCAAAGTGACCAATTATCAAACAATAAGATACAATTGTATTATATGTATAGATGATTATGGTTCCACCAGGAAAAGCGTGAGACAAGTCTAAATTGCACGTTGTTTTATTACGATGCAATCACGGCCGAGCGTGTTTAAAGTCAATTTATCACAACGGGTCTAATTCAGGACTTTAAAACAATTTTTAGGATTCCATTCCTCATAATGCAGAACCTTTAAAGAATTACTTTCCTAACCGTGTAACTTTTGACCAAAATGACAGCATTAATTATTTCAACATTAATTTCCAACAACAACCGTTTAAGTTACAGTCGAGTTTGATGCTTGGGAACTGTTAAAGGCCGTTGATGAAACAAACTCGGATTTTTGTAATTTTTTAATAACACTCAGACTCTCCGTATAAGAGATATAAGTTGACATTATATTAGGCATACATTTGACGAACGCAGTTGAATAAATACAAATATACACTCACACACACACACACGCATGCACACACTCATGCATGCAAGCAAGTACGCATGCACACACACACACACACACACGCGCGCAAGCAAGTACGCATACACACACACACGCACACACATGAAGAAAGAGAAGAGAGGGCTGATATGAATTAAACTATGTCTATGAAAAACCAAATATATTGATTGAATATATTGAATGATGAAAGATTCCTTTGCGCATTTTCATGCACCTAAACTATGAAAAACATTTGTGACTACAACTGTAATGGTAAATGTACCCAATTGCCGGTGCAAAACACGGTACGGTTACCGTGTAATAGTGTAGTGTTGGAGAAGTATTTCAATAAAAGTACCAAAAGTGGTAGATTTCAACTCGAATCGTATATCAAATGTATGTATGTGTGTTTGTTTGTTTTTATGTAAGTATCTATAGAAGTAATGAAAATTTTCGCAGAATTGTTACACTAGTGTGTTCCACTTTTTTTCAGGAAGGTTTGAGTGTAAAAACACTAATTATCTATTTTGTATTTTTTACAATCAAAAGTTTAATAAAATATCACAACTAATTATAACTTTATAATCTTCCGGCATTCTGTATTTAAACTGTCATTTTTTTGTGTTTTATCTTTTTGATGTGTTCACAATACGGAATTCTTACGTGTAAGTTTCTTACGATAGTTTTTATTTCGACGTGAATATACAATAAGTTATACAACAAGAGGTTTTAATTTGAAGGTATTTTAAGGAAATTGCTGTAAATGTACATCATCCACAAGACTGGCCTGTTAATTTTCTGGTTAGTGAACCTGACTGCCAAGCTGGAGGACGTCGGGTTCGATTCCCACCCGAGACAAATATTTGTGTGATGACGGATTAAGAATACAGAGTGTCACCACCCCAATTCATCTCGTGGGTGTCGTAGGAGCCGACTAAGGGAAAAAATTACGCAGAACAACAGCACTGCACAGAGAAGGAAAACTTGACACAAACCCTATACCAATCCGTCTGGCCAGCTTGGTATAGTAGGCCAAAACCTCCTTTCTATGGAGAGGCTCACGACCAGCACGGGTGTAATTTATCTTCTATACTCTATACAAATAAATAAAATTGGAGTGTCTGTTTGCAATATTAAAATAACCGCTTTTTACTAAATGCATAATAATATGTATGTTTACACGGTACATATGCCAAAATAACATTTTTTACAATTTTTGAATGTCTGTCTGTCTGTTTGTTCCGGGTAATCTCTGGTACGGCTGGACCGATTTCGACTTTTACTGGCAGATAGCTGATGACATAAGGAGTAACTTAGGCTACTTTTTTTAGACTAGCTTCGCCCCGCGGCGTTGCCCGCGGTTATAACAACAAACGCGGGTAACACCGCGGGTCTCAGCTAGTCTATAATATGTACGAGTATGTATTTAGAAGTATATAAGTATGTTTATCAGCAGTCTGGTTGTATTCATATAAGTAGGTATTGGTAGGACTGACTGCTGTATAAAATTAACACTACTTTGTTTTATAACTGTCAAAGGAATGCTGTTGTGCTGTATAGATAGATTTTTTTTTGTTTCCTTTACACTTTTTTCTCACCAAATCTGCCCATGAAATTACCTATTTACGAGTACAGTCTATTTGTCCATCCAAAGGTTGCCTGTAAGAGATTGTTTTTTAGCGATAAGGCCGCCATTTGTACATGGTCATTAACTTGGAATACTATTGTATGTATAATATCCTGAATTGGTGTACAATAAAGATTATTCTAGGTTCTATGTATATCACATGGCTTGGTTGAACACACGTATGTTCCGTTAGCCAAAAAATTACTCAATAACCTGTAATTTATAAACTTCCTTCTTTTCCTTGTTATCCAAACAGGAAAGTTTAAAGTTTAAAATGTTTAAAGAAAGAGATGGTTAAATAATCTGGGTTAAACGTGATGAATACGTAACCTAGAAAATGTTGGTTGATGTAATAACACTATCTCGCTCTAACGAACTATGTATCTCCTTTAATGGAAGGAAAAGGTAAAACGGTCAGCCTATTATGTAAATCAAAACTTTATAGGTCGTTGGAAGTTGAATTAAAGTTGTAATATGTACGTGGCGAGAACTTTGTATGTATATTTTGAGGAAAAGTGCTCTGACAAGAATGTTAAATTACGAATATTTTAAAGTCAACATGTGGAAGAAAGAAAAAATAAAATTTTCGAACAATGCTATTTATTTTTATAAAAGACAACTCCCGCATTAGGAATATATCCTGTGTCGCAGAGGACTTTACAAATATACATGAAACGGACACAAAGAACACCCAGACTCAGAACAACAATTTGTGGATCTCACAAAGTGGGGATCGAACCCACAATACTCAGCAGTAGTAAGCGGCGTGGGGACCGCTTGAACCACTACGCCATCCGTGCAGTCATAGCTATGAAAATTAAAAATTCGTAATGGCTATATAAAGCTGTAGTATAAGTATAAAGTTTTTCTATAGCGTAGGATAATTTAAATGATTAATTATATGTAAACGACATGACAGCTGTCAACTTGTTCCGAGTTGATGATAGGTGACAGCTGTCAGTTCGTCATCATATAATTGACGTGTGCAGGGACGTAATTAACTGTTCAAACTTCTTCGATCAAATTTACTTCATTTATATAGTAGATTTTATTGTCATCATCATAATCATCAAAAGCCTTAAACAGTCCACTGCTATACATATGCCTCTCCTTAGAAATGAGGTTTTGGCCTACTATACCTAGCTGGCTAGACGGGTTGGTATAGGTTATGTGTCAAGTTTTCCTTCTCTCTGCAGTGCTGTTGCCCTTAGTGGTCTCTTACGACACCACTCTTACAATAAGGGTGGTGGCACCTTATATTCTTAATCCGTCACCACGCGGGTATTTTAGATTAAAAATTATATATAAATTAATTAGTCACAAAGTAATAAAAATGGGTGCTCAGATAACTTCAAATTTAGGCATAAAGTTATTTTAGCCGTGATTTATATTCTGTTGGCGTGTCACCGAAGTTACCAACGTATTTTTGTAAACTAGCTGTCTGATGGACGTGAACACCAGGAAAAGGTGATTTGGGTTAAAACAATTCGATACAATAAGGAGGCTACGGGAGTATAAGGGAAATTGCAAGTCTCAGATAGAGTAACGGGACTAAAACTGGAGTAGTTCGAAGTAACCGATGACACGTCCTTTCTGTGATTGGAGACATCGAAACGACGAGAAATATAAATTTGAACTTTGAAACTTTAATTATTTTTAAGTTACAATTAATTTTAAGTTACAACGTTTTCTTTTTATGGTAAGTGTAGGTGGCAAAATGAGCAGACTGGTCAATTGTCTAATAATAATCATGAAATGTCCGTGTGGTGACGAATTAAGAATACAGAGTATTACCACCCCTATTTATCCCGTGGGTGTCGCTAGAGGCGGCTATGGGAGCAAACTACTCAGGGCAACAGCACTGCAAAGAGAAGTAAAACTTGAAACAAACCCTATGCCAACCCGTCTGGCCAGCGTGGTATACGAGTAGTAGGCCAAAACTTTCTTTCTAAGGAGAGGCCTATGTCCAGCAGTGGACTGTTATAGGCTGTTGATGTGATGATAAATCATGAAAATGGAAAGCCATGCTTTAGTACAAATAGGCTCGATCGGAGTGACAGCATGGCTTGACAGAAAACAAGGATTAAGAAACTCTTTTGTTGCTTTTCACCGATTAGGCTCAGGGGGAGGGGGGGGGGGGGGTTAAGACGGTAACATGCTGGCGACCTTTGCCTCTTATACCATAGAAAAAACCCCCTGCATTTCTACTTTATTTTATTTATTTTAACAATTTTTAAAAAAGACAACCCCGCATTAGGAATATATCCTGTGTCGCAGAGGACTTTACAAACATTGACAAAAAGTGGGGATTGAACCCACAACACTCAGCATAGTAAACGGCGTGGCGACCGCTAAAACCACTACCCCATCCGTGCCATCAATTATAACAAATTGTGTAGTACCTACCGTATCGTCGCTAATAGCATGCAATTATTGTACTCGCGTGTATTTATCTTTTAAGTCGATTCATCTAGCAACATGTTGAGTGATTACGTTTTTGTAGGGTTATGATGCAACCTTGTCGGTTCCAATTATTATCGTTTAATGTGCTGAAAATATATTACTTAGATATTTTTTTTAAGTATTTATATCATTTGAGTGTTATTTTGTGTAATAGTTAATTTGAATTATAAAACAGATTTTTAATTTAACCCGAAATACTCTAACAAGGTAAAAAAAAACCTAGTTTGAATAAATTTTTGTGTATAACACAATACATACGCGTCATCTCCAACTTATCAACGTCAAATGAAAAACAAAAATTGTTATTGTGTAAATTATTATAATATTTATACTAATGTATAAAGCTGAAGAAATTGTTTGTTTGTTTGAACCCTCTTATCTCAGGAACTGGTTCGAATCGAAAAATGCTCGAAAAAGTGTTGGACATTCCATTTATCGACAAAGGTATACGTTGCGACCAATAGGAGCGAAAGCATCAAATAAAATTATTACAAAACGGGGTAACATTATTTCTTTGCGGGTCAATTAGTATAATATATTCTACTAACTGGTACACAAACTGGTGACATTTTTACAAAACCCTGGTGCATAATATCTTTATTATAGTCGTGTTATATTTCCTAAACTGTAAAAAATGTATGAGTTCTACTCTAATTAAAGAAAAAACACAGATTTTCTATACTTTACACAAAAAAAAAACATTTTAAAACATATAGCATAAGCCATTGGTGCTAAAAAAACTAATTGTTCGAAAACTCTCTAAACTAAACTAAAAATCACTAAAAGTTAGTTTAGTCCTGTCAATTACTACGTTTTCAGAGTACGAAACGCTGTTTGACGGGACTAAAGATTTTTTTTTTTGTGATTTTTAGTTTAGTTTAGAGAGTTTTCGAACAACAGAATTAGCACCATTTTACTTTTTTAATGTAGGAATTTATCAATTTAGCTATATTTACGTATTTAAAATTTTAAATGAATTCCTCACCTGAATTCAATTGATAACTTTTTATTATTTATTCACAGATTAGACATAGCCTACTTTTTTTTTAAATTAATGTACTATTAAATGTTTATGGTAATGCCTTTTTACCTGACCAAGGAAGGGTTATATTTTAGCGCGATTCTTGTTTGTTTCAAAATTTCCTTATCACCTCGTATCTTCCAAACGGAAGGTTTTTTTTACAGTTAAGGTATTGTTTTATCCGTCTCTAAAACTCAAGTGTCCTGAGGTAGCTTTTTGAAAGTAAAAACAAAATGGCGGATTTTTTGCTCATAATTGGGTATCAAAATCAATAAAATTAAAAGGAGATTAAAATATGTATATATACTCGTATGTTAAAGTCTTATATTTAAAGTTAATACGAAATAATTAGGTGGTTTAAAAAGATTTTGATATCGTTAAAATGGGCAATGTTTTATCCGACCTGGCACTGTTTCGCTCTTTTTAGTGCATTACTTTTAAATTGTCTTTTTGCTGTCTGGTTTTAAATTTGCTACGTGTTTTGAAAAATATAGTAGATTTATTTACACTTACGAACTTATTTCCAAGTTTACTCGCGCACTGAACTCTGCTCTCTTTTTAAAAACAAAGTGCTGCACACGTCTAACTCACTCTGCCCCACTCGAGCAATACAGGATCTGACTACACAACAGTCATTGTAAGTACCGCCACAAAACATTAAGGTAAACACACATTGCTTCGATTTCGCACAACAAAGTAAATGACGGCTGATTTGGTACATCCATTGTCAAGTTTAAAAAGCTTTTTTTTATTTTTATTTTTTTTGTCACCACCCCTATTCATCCCGTGGGTTTCGTAAGAGCATGCAAAAAGAAGGAAAACTTGAAACAAACCCTATACCAACCCGTCTGGCCAACGTGGTATAGTAGGCCAAAACCTCCTTTCTAAGGAGATCCGAAACTAGGCAGAGCCTGTGCTATTGTAACCAGACTGCTAATATACTTAAATATTTCCAAATACATACATAATATATTATAGAAAAATTACATTCAAACACAGAACAAATGATCGGCTGGAAATTGAACCCACGACCTCCGGCCTAGCAATCAGGTTCATTAGCCACTAGACCCACAGGTGTCAAAGGTATTTTACAGGCCCTACAAGGCCGTATATTATACGTATTTTTTTATTTAAAGTTTATGCACATATTATAGTAAGGCTAACTTAAGTATTACGTAGAATTACTTAAGTGATCCTTAACGCACTCCTTACATCTTAAAAACAAAAAAAAAGGTGGCACAGAAATAAAATTTTGATACATATAAGATATATTTAGAAAAGAGAAGATAATTTTTTTATGTTCATTGATAAACTTTTACGTAGAATTTAAAACGTTTTTAACATAATCTCTAAAAAGCAAATACATTCTTTTTGTCCACACATTGTCCTCTTCTCCTATTCGACTTTCTTTTTCTTTAAGTTTTCTATACTTTTAATTAAAGTATCTCTATATAGTGGGGGCTCCCTAAGTTACAATTCAAAAACAGTTCTCAATTTAGTTGTATTTTTATGTTTGCGACTTCAAAACCCCGTTATTTATAAAGAAAAGAGCGTACTCATTTCTAAAAGGCCGGCAACGCGTTTGACACTCCTGAGTTGCAGTCGTTCACTTTAAATCAGGTGACCCGTCTGTTCGTTTGCCCCCTATTCCATAAAAAAAAATGATTTGTAACATTCTCTTTAGTTGGGTGGGTATACTTCCTTATATATTTGAAGAGAAAATACAACCCCTATGGGTGGTAAAAAAGCAGTATTTTTTTATTAATTTGCTGCCATTGTGTCCATGCTCTGGTTGTTATGCTACCTCTCCAGTCAAACGTTCACAAATGACGCAATGCATCTCGTCCTTTATAAACGTATCTGATTAAAATCTTTTGACCTGGTGTTCAACGGTAAGTACCACCGTTGTGTACCGGTTTGTATACATACATGTATAAACATAATTACGTATTGACAAAAAAAAGGTTCAGTTTTGACAGCCTACAAATGTATGATGTAAAAACTGTCAATAAAAAACTAAATTACGCATAGGTACTGATACTCAACAGTCACATCAGAACTCAACAATTCTAATATCTCCTACTAGACTAACTGACGATCTAAAGACGAGCGTGGATGAACGATGCTTTAGCGCATATGGGCCAGGGAACGGAGTGAGATTTCTAGAGGAAAACCTCCCTGTCCTAACTCTTAGCACTCAAATGGCGTCAACGCTCTCGTATCCCCATATTTACGTTTATTTATGTTAGAATAATGGGGATATGCATACATCGTTTACTAAATCGTAGTTTAGGATGAGATAGCCGTATATGAATTATTTGAAGTTATTAGTATAATACACAATTTAAATTTGATTTAAATTGTGTATTATACTATTTATTAGTTATTGATACCGACTAGTATCAACTAGTCGGTATCCGGTAAATCCATTTATACAATTTGAAGTTATGATGGCATTAATGTATGAACATTGAATGAAAACATTACTGCTTTTTTGGGCAGTTGTATAAAATACCCACTCCATAACTTCCGCTTCCTACTACGCTGAGTGTTGAGGGTTCGATCCCCACATAGGACAACACTTTGTGTTCTGAGCCTGGGTGTTCTTTATGTCCGTTTCATGTATGTTTGTACAGTCCCCTGCGACACAGGATATATTCCTAGTGCGGGAGTTATAGATATAAAAAAATAATGAACTATTATATATATAATATACTTGGTGCTAACATAGTTATGAAAATTCAGCGATACAATAATCTTCTTTAATCGTTAATTATTATAAATGTAATAAAATAGCTCATTTTATTACAGACATACAAAGTCACCATACTATGAAATAATTTAATGCTCTAAGAACTGGAAGTGAGCCCATAAAACGAGTAATTACTTGCAATAATGACCAATAATTGGTTTATTGTATATCAGTTTAGGTCCGTGTGGTGACGGATTAAGAATACGCACCACCCCTATTCATCCCGTGGGTGTCGTAAGAGCCGACTAAGGGAGCAAACTACGCAGGACAACAGCAGTGCAAAGAGAAGGAAAACTTAAAACAAACCCTATACCAACCCGTCTGGCCAGCGTGGTATAGTAGAATAGAATATTGATGTGGCTGTTGATGATGATGATTATAACAAAAAATTATAGCATACTAGCTTCCTGCGGCTCTGTCCGCTTGTATGTCCGTTCTTTGTTTTTTTTTAATGTTATAGGTGGCAGACGAGCAGACGGGACACCTGATAGAATGACCATCGCCGCCCATGAACGTCTGCAACTCAGGAGTCACAAACGCGTTGCCGGCCTTTTTGGAAGAAGTACGCTCTTTTCTTGAAGGTTTGAAGGTCCTGTCGAGCGCTGTTGCGCCCCCCTCCCCAGACTACGCGATGCAGCGTAGACATCCACGCCCAGACGTATGGTTATCTGAGCGTAGACGTCCAGAGGGGGATTCTCCAACGCTAACGCAGCTGGTAGTGAAAATAATCTAGATTATTTTTCAACGACGCTATCATGAGGGGGGATATAGGGGGGGTTGGGCTCCGGAAACCTCACTCACTCGGTGAAATGCAACAGAGAAATTGCTTTACGACCGGTTTTCTATGAGGCCGTGGTATCGCATCGGTCGAGCCGTCCCATCGCGGTAAAAAGTAGTCTATGTTGCTCGCTGATTATTCGTATCGTAGAAGAATTGAAAGATAAAAAAAAATAATTAATATTTATATTTAAAGTCATTTTCTATTGTAATGGCGGCAATATAATAATAACCAGTACAGTAATAACTTTCTACCAGGGGTACATGAGATACAGCCTGTTGGGAGAACCTTTGCATCCTTTTCATACGGAACCCTACCTGGTCTAACTCTAACCTTAATAGTCAAAGGTACAGGTCAAAGGTTCTTTAATAAAAAATACTTCATATTTATGTACTATTCTGAATTATACTACAATAAAAAAATTGGTGCGTGTCGTGATTTTTTACATCGAGACAGGTTTTCGTATTTTTTTTTTGTTGCGGCAAAAACCACTTCTACAAGGTATCCCTTATTATGTTTTTTTTTAAATGACTTGTACGAGAGGTATTTACAAGCTTCAGTATAAATAAAATTAAATAGTAGAGATGTAAGACATTCTAATGCACAACGCGGCTGAAGTTTTGGCTCTGGAATCTTTTGACCAATATCGACAACTGTGGCCGAAATGTTGTTTTTTAGCCGATAAGAAATAATTTTGTACAAAATTTCACAACGTCCAATCCAGTCCAAACAATGGGGCACGATTGCAAATTAATAATAAAACGGCCATCTGTTTCCAAACTAAACAGTCAGTAGGTACTATGAAAACCAGTCTGTTGATAAACATAGTTATATTTTTAAATACGTATTTTAGAAAGATAATACCTAGACACAGGTCAAATAGTCGTACCTCAGTAATGTTTCCTGGGTGGGACGTGGGTGACGACTTGCTTCTTAGCAGTCAGAAACACTATAGACACCCATTGCCGTCAAAACATGAATTAGCAAAGAAACGTAGCAGTGAGGTAATAATTTAGCTTACAGGCGCTAAGAATGCTTATAAACAGATTTAATTCTGATTTTGAACATTTCGTTTGTTACATTCAGTGGCGTTAATTTATCTTACTACTTAGATTTTTTCTAATTATAAAAAAAAACATAATAAATAACTATCATCCCAAGAATCGAATCTAGGTCTATTTATTATACAACACAACTGGCAATCTCCCTATATATCTATACAAAGAAATAAAATTGAAGTGTTTGTTTGTAATGTCAAAATAATAGGTTTTTTCATGCTTACACGGTTATTTGTACAATACCTATTTCTAAAACCAGTACCAGTTTAAATATTTTACTACCAGGTAGAGTTCGCAAGGAATTTGGTTTGAAGTCGCGGGTACCAGCTAGTTTTTTTTATATAATTTTGTCTATTATTTTTTTTCGATGACGAAGTAGAAAATCTCTTATTGTCTCCGACTCCACCGTAGTGTGTGGAGGACCCGGACCAAGTTCTTTCAATGTTTCCCTCGAATGGACGCCGCGCCTAATCAAGCCCTATCTCGGTTAAATAGCAATTGTTTTGTAATACCACAAAGTTTAATATAATGTCAGAGGTCTATATCCCGAAGCAATGTACATATTAATAGATGTAACTTACAAACGCTATTATTAGCGCCATCTCTTGATAATAAACTGAACTTGAACCAATTATACTGAACGTACTGAACATCAACATCCTTTATATAATAATTCATATTGTGCTTAATGATCAAATATGTAGTTCTTAGTTCTACCACCGTCCAAAGATTGAAATAGTGGGCTTTGCATTATCTTCTTTTTTACTCTATGACTATATTATTCAATGTTTAGGTACTACAATTCAGGTGCGAGTAGGTAGAGTATTGTATTTCTTTAAATTTATTTTAATCGTTACTGGTTTGGCGCGTCGTGATGCCACCTGGGTTTTGCACTAAAAATCAGCTTTGTCTTTGGGCTCCCGCCTTATACAGAATAATGCTGTGTGTACCCCTTTTTTTTTTCTTTTTTCCGTGCGGAAATCCCCTCGGATACCACCTATCGATGGCATGTCGGACTCGAACCGACTAAAACCGCACGCCGTCTCGGGTACTAATAGCCGGGGAACCAGGTATACCCTAGAAAGGAAGTCCCTGGTGCCCCGACATACCTAGGGCCATCTACATACGAGTAGACGACCACCCCGTGTGGGAACCCCATGTTCCCTCTGCTCTCGGGAAGCGAGCGCGCTTCGCAACGCGCTCACCGCCACCCCGGCCTGCTTCTGCTAGGGTGACAGATGGCCTCACCTGTCACCCCCAGGCCTGCGCTTATGGAGGACGGAGGTCGTTCTGCGACCTCCGGCGCCTGAGTCGCCTGCGGTACCTAGCCCGTTCCCGGGCCTGGCGGGCCGGGAGAGTTCTAAACCTCTCCCGGTCCCGCTCCGTGAGTGTGTACCCCTGCCACAGTTATGAAACGCAATCCTAATCCAAATATGTTAATGTGTAATGTTTCATTTAATTATGTAACTATGGAATAAGCATTTTTTTCATTAAAGTAGGTACTTACTTCAATTGACAATTTAAAAATCGATTAGGTTCAATGTTAATAATTTACTTTTAAAGGAGAATAAAACAGCTAAGCAGTAAGCTAAGCAGGAAAAAACTAGTGTTCTGATAAATGGAAAGAAGTTGGATTTTGTGGACACTACTAAGTTTTTGGGTATAACTCTAGACTCTAAAATGAAGTGGGGCCCACACATTGATGGATTGTCGAATAGACTCAGTTCTGCAGCATACGCGGTTTATAAAATTCGTCAATTAACCGATGTAGAAACAGCTAGACTGATGTATTTTAGCTATTTTCATAGTGTACTATTATACGGTATTTTGTTGTGGGGAAATGCTGCTGATATTCAAAGTATCTTTGTATTGCAAAAGAAAGCTTTTCGCGCAATTTATGGATAAGTTTAAAGAAATTGGTATCATGACAGTCGCATCTCAATATATATATGAAAATTTAGTGTATGTAAAGAAAAATATTCATTTATTCACAAAGCCTAGCGACATTCCTAAAGTAAACACTAGGAGTAAAGATAAACTCGTGTTACCAACCACTAGACTACAAAAAGTAAGCAAGTCCTTTTGATGTCAGGGTGTGCGATTCTACAATAAAATGCCAAGCTTATTTCATGAACTAAGTATTAACTTTAAGTCTTTAGTAAAACTAAAACTATGTGAAAAGGTTTACTACACGATTACAGATTATTTAAATGACAAATTTGCTTGGGATTGATGCTGCTCACTCCCACATTTACGTTCCTATCATTGTTATTATGTTTTAGAGTGATAGACATTTAGTTTTTTTTTGGTGTATTTCACATTTAGTTAGTTTTAAATCTGTTTATTTTTCGTTAAATTTGAACTATATAGTTTTTTCTTGTGTAAGTGCGTATATGTGAGTATAGTGTAGGCTTGTAATGTTAATTCATATATTAGTATCTTTTAGGTGGTTTTGAGTGTTTCCACGGCCTACCTAAATGTCCTGCTGGCGGTAGTGTCGTGCTTCTTGGATCTTGACCAATATCGGTTAAGCTACACGATGACTGGAACCTGTGTACCATCTGTATGGACAGGCCGACTCAAAACTATTGTTCTGAGTCTGGGTGTTCTTTCTGTCTGTGAAGTCTCTCGCGTCACAGGACATATTCCTAGTGCAGGGCTAGTCTTTTTGTAAAAGATAAAATAATTAAAATAGGAAACAGCTTAAAATTATTGGAAAATCTTACTGTTAAAAGATACCGCATAAACAAAAATTGTAACATAACTAAACAGTGATTCATCACCATTTCCGGTCATGTATCTAATTTCCGCCTCTACATCAAAGCATAATTTATCAAAAAATTATAAAAACATATTTATTGATTAACATTTGACCATCATACACCTTCCTGATGGCAATTCTTTTCTAGTTTCTACATACAGAACACTAATTAATTTAGCTCTCGTACACCAAAAGGCCCATGAGAGATTGTGAGATCGGTACTGAATTGTGACCGAACTTTTGTTACAAGAATTGACCTTCTGTTCTCAAATCTTCAAAAGGCCTCTCTAAGAGAAGATAATTACTTTGTAACTGTGTTTCAAAGATAGCAATATAATAAATAATAAACGTAAAGTAAGGCTACTTCTGAGTTTCTACATACCTTGTACAAACGTGTAAGTATATACAATTATGTCAGTTATCAAACCAAATTATAAATACAATACAGAATAATATCACTTAGCGGTCGGCACTTAAGTATAATTTATAAATATATCTATATTTTGTATTATTTCAGTGACCTGTTAGTAATCCAAATAAAACTATATGTTTCCAGTAAAACCGTTTCTGTACAATGGCAGGCCAACATCATTCCTTGGACAGGTATATCTTTTTGTGCTTATTTTTACATAATTTTTCATTTGTCACACATATTGATTGTATAAATTTGATAATACGGGTCATCAACTCACCAGACCCGAGGGTGAAGTGGTAAGTCAGGCTCGAACCGACTAAAACCACTAGCACAAGTGAGAGACCCGGGATAACCTAATACGAACGCTATTGAGAAGGGATTGCCTACTGGGCAGTAGGTATGTCGCAATATTACCGGAGATCAAACATTTTATAATTCCTTAAAACCCTGAACTTTGGGTCATTTTTACAGGAAACCGTTTCAAAGTCACCATCGACGCATCTACGATTCTGATGCAACAAAGTGATGTGAGAACATAATGGCCGATGGAGCGGTCGTACACAAGGTCGTGTGTGAGTACATCACAGATGTTGATACGTCACTGTGACGTTAGAAATCTGGTACCATTAGTAAAAGTCACCGAATACTCGCTTTGGTTACGTAGTTGTTAGAGTTGGCTTTGTTTTTTATACTATATTAGTTAAAAAAGATCATGACTCGCAGTCCCCGACGAACAAAATCGTAATAGGAAAATAACAATTTTACAGGAGCAAATAAAAACTGAATATCTTGAATACTATCAAGACTAAAAAGAAGATTCTTTTATCAAAAATAAGGAAATATTTTTTTGCACTAGATTTTTACTAATTTTTTATCATAAATTTTCTTTATCAGTAAGAAAATTGTGAAAATGTCCATTACTGAAATAAATAATTCTCATCATCGAATATTATATTTATAACAATAGTAAGGCCTTCTTAATGCCAATTTAAGCTGTATATTTTCGTAATTTCTGTTACATTGGTATAAGCACCAAAATCATTTCATTCAACAGCATTACCTATCATGGTCATTGCAACAACGTTCTCGAGAAACACACTGTTTGTTCGAACATTCACTTCGGTCCTCTGGATCATTCAGTACCGCGAGTTCACGCTAACGGACCTGTGTGGTTTACGGTCACAGAGTTTAAAAAAAGTGAGTGTTCCATTTTATTTACAAATGAAATCTAATTTTAAAATTAGAATGTAATTTTTTTTATCTTTACTTCTTTTATATCCTAAGCATTTTCTGTGTTGGTAGAAAACTGTGTATTGTTTTTTCATTATTTTTTTTGTATGTGTCTAATGTCAAAATGTCATTTATATATGACCTTGCATAATTTATTAATTTAGTTGTCATATTTTAATTGAATTAGAAAGTATGTTGAAGTAGAATTCATTTGATATTTAGCCCTATATGGAGTTACTTCATATTCAAAGTTGAAGTCGGCGACCGAAGTTTTTGCGACTGTTTACGAAATTTTCTATACTATTTATTATTGGTAAATATAATTTTTGTTTAAAATATGTGCCTGCAATCTACTTAAGTAATACGCGGAGTGTTTTAGTAACTATAATTTCGTCAAGAACTTAATCAACAGCTGATTTAAAAGTTTGAATGGTCCGTAGACATAATTTAGGCTTAGTTATTTGAGCAGTATTTTCTTACTTATTAATCTTTTGAATTCAGCCATACTTTAGAAAAGAAACATACCTACATACCCAATAACAATATCTTCTGATTTTTTACATAACATTTAGAATAATTTTCTTTATCAATAACCAACGCCAAATCCCAAATTAGGCTCTGATTGAGTAATATAAGTTTTACTTATAATTAAAATAACTTTACCTTCAACCTTAAAGATACTAAGAATGAACCTTACAGATACTAAGAACGAACCTTAGAGATACTAAGAATGAACCTTATAGATACTAAGAACGAACCTTACAGATACTAAGAATGAACCTTACAGATACTAAGAATGAACCTTACAGATACTAAGAATGAACGAATTGCCTAGTAGAGCATGTTAGCTGTCGGTCCCGGTTGCCATACCAACATTTGTGACAGTCGTTACGGGAAGTTGGGGCCCTAAAACGTCCAACAACTGTCTTTCTTTTCTGCCGAACTTCGAATACTACTTGGGTTGTGGAGATCTGATGGCAGTCGCTTCACGTAAAAAATTAAAGTCAACCGTATTGTTGTAGACTTAAAGTCGACCCCAACCTAGTTTGGGCAAAAAGCTCGAAGGAGGAAGACTGATCAAAGGACATGGCCAATTTATACAAGGCCCTCTGCCTAGCTTGTAAAAGTTCATGTACATTAACGAAATTTTGCTTTTTGGAATTAAATTTGTCCTAAAAAATATAATGTATATGTTACATATTCCATGTACTTCAGATTTTTTAGATATTTACATAAAAGGATGTCATGTTTTAATCCTTCTTAAACTTAAAAGCAATGAGTTCATAGAAACTGTTTTGCTTTCATAAAAACTACAGGCGTTCGGAGCACTGAAAAGGTATTAAATGGATACATAATAAAAATAAATACGATATTATTTTTAAAGACGACCGTGGTAGTAAGTGCGTTTGAATTAAGTGGCCCTAGTTCGGTTTCCAGTCGGTAAAACATGCTTAAGTTTATCCTGAAAAAGTATTTTTTAACGAGGATGCGATAACTAAGAAATATAATTATTAAATACTTCAAGATTATTTTAAGTTCAGATTTTAGATTAAGGTGCGCTGAAGGACTGAGTGGATGCTTAATGGATTGGTAATGGGTGAAATAAAAAAATATAGTTTAAAACGCAAGCGTAAATAATACACAAAGTAGGTAGGTACTTTTGTATAAATAATACAACGTGAGCAAAATGCCAAAATTCTAAAATATAGTGACAGATCCGCTGTCATGATAACATAGCATTACGTTTTGTTTAGCAAATCACAAAGAAGTATAATTATTATGAATTAATAACAATCATTTATAATATTTTTATATATGTACATAAATATCATTACTATATTGATTTTTAATCTTTAGTACTATTTTGAACCAACGTAATTATTTTTACATATTTACGCTGGTTTTATACGTAAACATTACTTTTACTGGAAACACGTTTTCTCAAAATGGCGCAGAACCTGAATGTATAGGAAATAAAAAAAAAACTCTTTAATCTTGTGTTAACACTCGGAAGTTAGACAGAAATATGAAGGATGCCATAATTTATATATTTCTTTTTATTTTCTTATCATAAGGCTGTTATTAATGTACATGCTACCAAAAAACTAGGCAGAAACTGGCCATGTCCTTTAGATTTTTCCCGTTGTTTGTGCTGCGAGACTTTGATTAAATTTTATGAGTATAAGTTTTGGATTACCAGTCCCTACTTGTACCTAACAGCTATTAGTTGGTTTCACTCTCTCCTCAGCTGCGATCTTTCAGGTTTAAAGGCCTAAAATATACGCCACTCATCGCATGTCGTGTGTCACCAGTTGATTTATCCGTGTCTATAGTACTTATGATAGTGTGTAATTATCCTCAAGCGTTTAATAGTCGACTGCTGACGGCTTGGCATAGGGTTTGTTTCAAATTTTCCTTCTCTTTGCAGTGCTGTTTGAGCGTAGTTTGCTCCCTTAGCCGGCTCTTACGACACCCACCTGATGGGTGGTGACTCTCGGTATTCTTAATCCGTCACCACACTGATGTGTAACTATTAAATTTAATTAAAATAGGGGTTTAATCTCCCTAGAAGTGAAATATTTTCATCTCATCCAAGGACCTGATAAAATTACCTTCTAATAACCATTTCTTTTAGAAAATACAAACATGACGATTTTCAATAAAAAGACACTACGCCTGCTTATTTAAAAAAATGCCTAATGCGGCTTTTCTCGTGTGCATATTTTATGTTACTTCCCACATCTGACACAAAAAAATTCTGATCACAAGCTAGGTAAAGCCTGTGCCACAGTAACCAGGACAAATAATTGTGTGATGAGCACGATGATTTCTTCAGTGTCTGGGTATATTTTATCTATAATTACGTGTCGAGTATTTTATAAACGAAGTTTTTATTTGACCGTAGCCTAGCTAAGACACGAATTTAACTTATGGTCCTTCGAGCCGGATCGAAGGACCATATGTTAAATTACGTGTCGAGTATTTTATAAACGAAGTTTTTATTTGACCGTAGCCTAGCTAAGACACGAATTTAACAATATGTATGTATTTAGAAATATATATGTATGTATATCAGCAGTCTGGTTACCATAGCACAGGCTCTGCCTAGTTTGGGATAAAATGGCCGTGTGTATGATATGTGAAGTTATTATTATTTCTTCATAGATACATATTAAAGATAAATCACACCCACACACAGAACAAACAATTGTGTTCATCACTTGTTGTGTTCATCAATTGTTTGGGTGGGAATCTAATCCACGACCTTCAGCTTAGTAGTCAGGGTCACTAACTACTAGACTAGACCGACGAACCGAACACCAAAATCGTAAAAGAGTCATTCATCAACAGCCATTATTGGTCCACTGATGGACTTAGGCCTCTAATTAAAAAGCTTCATTTTCTTACTTTATAATCCACAAGCTGCGGTATTTCGTCTACTTGTCTCGAAGGAATAATTTTTCCCCTTTTTTTGCAACATTTTTCGTTGAAGCTCAGCTCCTAAGATTTTTCAGTTTTGGAACCAGTAGTTCATGAGATTAATAATATTAGTTTAGATAATAATGTTTATTATCTCTGAGATATCAGAGATAATAAACAGTTAAGTTCGCCTAACTAAACAAACCAAATAAAATATACATAATAATATATATTGTTTGGTATAAGTAGCTTGTTTACAATCATATGCATTTAGAAAATAGCTGTTATTTTGACATTTGAAACAGACACTTTAAATATTTTCTAAGGTTGTTAGAAATGTTTTCGATGCTTGAACAATATCATCAAGACTTTCCTCCTTATTATATTAATTTACTGACGAGAGTGACGGACATCATCATCATCATCATCATCATCATCATCATCAACAGCTATTACTAGTCCACTGCTGGACATCCTCTCCTTAGAAAGGAGAGTTTGGCCTACTAAATCACTCTGGCCAGACGGGTTAGTATAGGGTTTGTTTCAAGTTATCCTTCTCTTTGCAGTGCTGTTGTCTGCGTAGTTTGTTCGACACCCACGGGATGAATAGGGGTGATGACATTCCGTATTCTTAATCCGTCACCACACGGACACGGGAAATTAGTCACACGGTAACTAAATAACTGAGAAATAATACAAAATAAATTCTCGTATTAAACAAATATACCACTGCAGCACTGTAACACAATAAATCAATGGATACAATTCTTAGTTGTCTGTGAGCTATATTCTGAGGTAATATTTAACTTTAGCTTGACCTTTTTAGTCAAACTTTAAACTACGTAAAAAAATATCTGTTATAAATTTGATCTGTCCCCCTATCAGACCAACTTTGACTACCTTGACTTAACTACCTTCAACCTTTCCCAATAGTTTTCCAGACTCAGGAATTGAACCATTTGAACAAAATTAATAGTCCATGTGGTGACGGATTAAGAATACAGAATGTCACCACCTCCTTTCATCCCGTGGGTGTTGTAAGAGCCGACTAAGGGAGCAAACTAAGCAGGACAACAGCACTGCAAAGAGAAGGAAAAACTTAAAACAAACCCTATACCAACCCGTCTGGCCAGCGTGGTATAGTAGGCCAAAACCTCCTTTTTATGGAGGTCTATGTCCAGCAGTGGACTATTAAAGGCTGTTGATGATGATGATGAACAAAAACGGCAAATTTTGGAACAGGTTATAAGCGTTATAGTAAATTTTGTCATTCCAAATGTATTCTAACAATGACTTATTTACACACTCTTACTATGATTAGTGATATTATTGTGTGAAAAGCAAAATTTAATCTTAGGAAGGTTGTTCTAAAAATCTGTTTTGTATAAATTTATTCCAAGCCTTGTGCTCCACATACATTGGACATTTGCCAAACACAGCCTTACGCACTTAAAGTTTCAAGGATGTTCAATACGTCTATCGAGAGATATCATTCGGTCACTATTACTTGTAGGCCTTAGATATATGTTTACAATAAGTTTGGTTCA